TCATCTCTCAGTTTAGCTTTCCTCTCATTCTTTTTCCTGTGCACACATACATACACAAACATACAGATATGTGTGAAATATTAAACACCGACAGAAAGGGACACACATTCACAGCAGATTCGCTTTCACCATGTTCTGCAGGCAGCTGGGAGAAGATGAATACTTAATCAGACAAACTGTTTAATCTCTCTTCTTGTTGCAACGTCCAACAAACAATACACATTCCCTCTCCACGTCATCAGTGTAGAAACTGTTCTCTGCTGCCGCTGATTTAAATTCATGCACTGTGCATGCACATACATCATACAGTATTCAGGATGGAGAACAGAAGTATTAGCTCGTGTGATGTCTGTCTGTGTTCCGCCAGGAGCTTTCCAAGAGGCATCTCAAATATTCACAAACATCCATCAATGCCTGAAAGGGTCAGAGAGACTGGCCACAGTCACACACACACACACACACACACACACACACACACACACACACACACACACACACACACACAGAAATGTAGCATACACATTCAATTAGTTTCTTTTTTGCTCCTGGAGTTTTCTTTAATCACAGTTTTCTATCATCTCTTTCTTTGAGGCCTGCAGTGTGTGTGTGTGTGTGTGTGTGTGTGTGTGTGTGTGTGTGTGTGTGTGTGTATGTATGTGTGTGTGCTTGCGTGCGTGCGTGTGTGAGTGGTGTGTATGTGTGTGGCTTGCAAAGCAATGTATTCTTGATTCTGTCACAACATATACGAATGGAAATTGTGTGGTTAAGGTTGAGGGCTGAGGCTTCCGGTAGTAAGTACATTTGTGTATGTCAAAGTGTTGCAAGATCTGATAATATGAATATGCTTAAGGTCTCCTGTTTATCTCTAATGCTCACAAATATGTCCCAGTGGCAAATATTGAAGAGAAGGAATGAGGGGAAGCAAATGCAATCAAAACAGCTAATCACTGAAAATAATGGTTGTGTTAAGACAGGCGGTTTGGAGAGGTTTGTCTTACGTTGACGGAAACAAATGAGATTAAGGAAGGGATCCACATGTTGAAGGCAGAAAGCAATGTTGTCTTTTCTTGCTTGTTAGTCCGGTCTCTTCTCACACAGTCTCTGGTGAATATGGCCAAGGGCGCCTGCTGCCTGCAATTTAGGAGACCTCATTCATTAACTTGGCATTGGGACAAACCTTCAGCACGTGGACACACACACACACACACACACACACACACACACACACACACACACACACACACACACACACACACACACACACATACATTTGGGTATACAAACATGTAACCACAAACCAAACTGCTTAACAAGGCATACAGGAAGGGTGAAAATAATTCAAGGTTTTACATCAAACACACACACACACACACACACACACACATTCACACTTTTTTCTTTCTTCTGGCAGTTGCAGACTTATTCAGCCATTTTGTGAAACCTTTAGCCTTTAAATACCATAGTCTTCAACCAATCATCACTTTTTGCGCCATCAGCTGTGCATTAAGAAAGACAGAGACAGAGAGGGAAAGACTCTTGTTCAGTACACACACACACACACACACACACACACACACACACACACACACACACACACACACACACACCTTACTGGCACATAATGAAGGGTAGAAGAAAACAGAAGAGGGTGAAGATCAGGCATTTTAGAAGAAAATAGAAACACATTATATTGGAAAAATGTTGTTAGCAATCATTTTGCAGAACTTAGTAATTATGGTGTAACGTAACTCTAAGTTACAATATGCTACCAAGATGAAAGGGGAAAATCTCTCAGAGATGGAGGAGTTATGAACATAAAACACATGGGGTACTCACCAGTGTTAGGGTAAAGAGGTGGGAAGTTTGAATGAAACAGCAACCTACTTAGATGGGAATTAAAAGACTGTAAACAATTGTGCCTATGCACCTGACGCCTTAAACCCTTCAGTAAAGTTTATAAATCCAAGTCTCCGGGTCCTGACACCCCATATTGGTGAAAAACTCTGATATAGTTTATGTAGAGGAGAACCCTGACCAGCTTTTATGTCCAGTCCCAATATGGCAACAATAAACAATAACAAATAAACCTTGAAATACGACAAGCTGTAACTTGTTGCCTTTTTGATAAAGTGTTAGCTCTCGTACCAACTGGCAGCGGGGTACCTGCCAGCAGCCTTTGTGAAACCACAGGGGGAGCGGGCAAGGGTTCATTCATTGACTTTATTGCCTGCTTGACAGAACTCTATACTTTAGCATTATGCCTCCAGCTGCCAAAATGCAATCTCACACACACACACGCCACACACACACACACACACACACACACACACACACACACACACACACACACACACACACACACACACACACTCAAACATTTCTTTGCATATGCCTACTGCTTTGCTGTTGTGAGGAGTTGCAGGAAGAAGGAAGAAGGTGATCACAGCAGCCCCTACAGGTGGACAGGACAATTAAAGCACTCCCTCTCCAATCACTGCTTTAAAGCCTTCTCAGCCTTTTACCACCTCCACCACCACCTCCCTCTACCCATGCAATTCTGCTTTGAATAGCCTGGAAAATGCACAGCCTGGCCTTTTTAATGCTATATATATAGCCCGTTCTGGCAGAGCGTAATGACAGACACTGTCATTACAAATCCAATCTGAATAAAAGGCCAAACCTGATAAAAGCGTGAGAACAGAGCAAAAGCTTTGTGATCTACTGTAAGACTTAGTGCAATGTTCCGTCACCTCGACCACCTGTAAAAGTCTGAGTTTCCTGTTCCTGTTTTTACAGCTTAATGTTTGCACCCTCAATTTCCATATAAATAAAGAAGATGAGCCTTTGTGTGTGTGGGTGGTGGGGTGTGAAACTGATTGGATCTATACGTTAGCAGACTATGACATTTCAACTTTATTCAAATTATTTCTTCAACATTTGGTTCAACTTTTTGACTGCCTTCAGGCTAAAGTGCAGCAGAGTACACCTGCAATGCAACCTGGAATGGCTGAAATAAATGGTCTCATGATGCTGGTCATTATCTTCTCCTTCATCTTTATTTAATCTACCTATGCCACTTGGGTACCATCTCATAGTGAGTTCCAGCACCTGGTCTACTGGCAAAAACGTTATACACAACAGCACAGCAGCTCATAGTCTAGATGACAATGCTTTGTTCATTACATTTATAAGAATAGCCAATTAATAAGAGGATGAGACTCTTGAGAAATGTTCTAATTTATATTTCAACTGAGCCTCTTAATATCAGACCTTGTTCCCTTTGACATGTTGTTGCTTCGGTTCAATATTGTACAGACTTAGCATTCAGAGGCAATCAGCGGAAGCTCAATTAATGCCTTTGTCTTATCTTACATAATTAAGTGTTGTAATACAATTGGCTTTGGCTGGAGGTCTGTGTCCCACTCATCAGTGGGTTTCTAATCAGACCAGTGTGCCACCAACAGGACCAAGTTTCAAATCCAGGACTTTTTGATTATTCTAGCAGAGGACTAGCATGGCATTGCTAGTATGGAACCTCTCATCCATTCCTTTTATTAATGAGCTGAGAACAAAATTACTCTGGACACAATGGAACGGTCTATAACCAACCAGCAATGAAACGTGTACAATAGTGTAGTTGGTCAATTTAATTGATGAGCATAATAGGGTGAATGGTGCACATCTGGTTTCTCCTACATGCTATTCAACCCTGTACTCATTTCCAGGTTGTCAAATACAGACCCAAGCTGTGTCAGTAAGTTGCAATCTGCAACTTCACTAATAGATGCCACTAAATCCTACATACTGGTCCTTTAACCATAGTTTAACCACGTCCTTGTGACGCCACCAACTTACATACCGCCCAGTTTGCTTGATCCTGATGTGACAGCTGATTCCACAGAAACAGTTCCACATCAGTGGTAGCCATCTTGGTTGTTTACAAAAACGCCTCAAAGGCCAATAAGATCACACCCCTCTGTACAGTTGTATCAAACGAAACTGTAGATAAACCGTTGCGATTGGATAAATGCTGTAGTAGTAGATCATTGTAGAGAGAGACAATGGATTTTGATTCTTGTTATAGTTTTAAAGGACTAGTGTGTAGGATTTAGTGGCATCTAGCGGTGTAGTTACAGATTGCGCAATATACATATACATACGCTATATCTACAGCCAGTGTTTGGTTTGTCCGCGCTGCTGTAGAAACATGGTGGAAATGTAGTCGTAATTGGTGTTATGAATAATATTAACAATGACTCTCTTCTTTACAAGTGTCCCCAGTAAGTCACAGCAACAGTGTGACAATGAGCCAGCATGCACACTACCCTGAACCCTGAAACTGAGGCGGCTGAATGGAATTCAGCCATCATTGTTTTTATTATTTTCACTTGTGATTTTCCTACTGTGACATGTCAAAATGTCTCCTGTGTAAAATACCTATTGATGTTTTAGATTTGTGGTTTTCACAACGATGCAGAGCTAATAATGGGTAATAATAATTAGTTGTTTTTATCACACACTGATAAACATAATCATTGTCAATACCTGCTATTATGATCACTGTAAGCAGTATAGAGTATTCAACCTGCTGTGAAGCAGACTTAACGGTGGGCATCTAGATGCACACTAAGTAGGTTAAGTGTGTGCAAATGTGGTTTTTCTTGCAGGTGACAATTGTACATCTATGTGATTTTAAGATTTTAGTTTCTTACATGACTGAGTAAAAGAAATCCCAAAATAATTGATCTCAACATTAGGAATAATTATACGATTCTGATGTGACTGAACTTGAAAGGTGTTATTGGTTTGACATATGTTTTGAGAAGTTAGACAGCAACTAACCACTTCCTTTTCTGTGCACCTCCTCCACAAATACATTTAAAAACTGATGCTGATGTTCCAGTCTGACTTTCTCTGTCTGGTGGCCATCATGTTCAGCTTAAAAGCAGTTCTGCTCTCCATTCAGCTATCAGTTATGTGCCAAGTCTTTGCAGGTACAGTGGAGATTTGTGTTTGTGATGCATACTTTGTTGTAGATTTAATAACAGATTTCATTTTATATTGATTAATTGTTTCCTTCACTGTTAGGGGTTGTTGAAAATCGCTGCTTGGATAAACTGGTGTTCAGAGGAGACTCCATCATGTTCACATGCAACACATCCATGGCAAATATAACTCAAATCAGATGGACAAAAGGCATATCTGTTTTTATTTATTCAGTCATTAACAATAAGACTTTTTCAAATTCCACCTCTCACAGACTGAGAATAGACTCAAACTCATCGACAAAGCTGCATGTTATTAATGCTCAGTGTGATGACGAAGGACTTTATATATGTGATGTAATTAGTACTGATGGTCTAAGCTCTGTTGTGTGGAATTTAACAGTGTCTGAAGTGTCTGAGAAACCTGAAGGTAGGTAGAGCACAGAGCAGGCCTAATCATCTATATACCGACTTTATGCATTTCAAAGCTTCCACTTCATGCTGCTTAAATTCATTCAATGTCTGATTTTCTGCAGAAGTCAGTTCATCGTGGTATTTTCTATACATACTCACATCTGTAATTGGATCGCTCCTATGTGGCTTCACTTCAGCTTTCTGTCTCTGCAGGTGAGTGATGCATTTAGCTTTCAGACTGTATTTAAGTATGTATAAATTAATGTTGCTCTTCTCTTTCACTGTTAAACAAGTAACAATTATGAGATGATGTTAAATGTTAAAATGTAGTGTAAATGTAACAGAGTTATAAAGTCACTGAACTGACATGACGCGGGAATTTCTCTAACCGGAAGTATTTATCAAACATAGCCACTACAAGCTACTGGTCATATCAGACCAAGTGAGGCTGCAAAACTGCAGAGTATTCAATAGCAACACATATCAGCTAGAATTTCCAACACTTTCATAAGACTATCTCGTCAGATATTTCTCTGTTATCTCTTCTCTTCAGCACTGTTCACAACTTATACTGTTTTTAAAAAGACTAGCTGCTGTTGAATATTTGCGATGTTTTTTTCAAACCAAATTTCATTCATCTGCATTTTATTGGGGTGACAGAAATCTGACATTGTACAGTTATGTATCTTGTGAATCAACACTTCACGGCTCTATTTTTGTAGTACCACAGAAATAGTGCAAGCAGCTACAGGTATTTAACTGTCCTTCTCTGTACCTTTGGTATTTTTGGTGTACAGTGGAGGGTGCAGAGTAAAAAGGAAATGTGCAAAGTGAGGTGAGGGGCAAAGCGGACATTAAGGAGGATCTAGTGGCAGAAATAGAATATAATATTTGTGAATGTTTTCATTTGTGTATACATTAAATTTCTTTTTATATAGTAAAATATATTCTAAAGTTAGAAAAATTTCCTGAAATAAATGTAATCAAATAATACTTCAAAAAGCATTCAATATCAACTTTTGATTAAAAAAGACGGAAAGAAAGGAAATCAAATCAAAATACAAACATTCTTAGATACCTTATTTATGGCATTGGTGGACGTGGCACTCTTTGGTTGCTGTAGAGCTTATACTACACTGTAGTTGAATGTGCTTTGATGCATATAGCTGCAGTGTACATGCAGATGTTTGGATGACAATGAAAAGTCACGCAAACAGAGTTACTAAGAACTGACAGTTGATGCAGTGGGATTGAGTTAATGTTGCCCGGTAAAGGCATTGCTGTCATAAACACCTGTAAGTATAACCAAATGTTAGTAAATGCAACCCTATGACTACTGTGAATTATGTGTTGCTACAATAAGAACTGACCTGTTTATTTTTGCCATTGTTGACCAATTAGTATTTGTGTGCAATTATATTTAAGACTACAGTATGTTATGATACACAGCTGATAAATTTGCATTTTATTTTTGAAGAATTTATTTCGGTTTATTATCCACTGTGTCATGCATAAATGCCTGGAATGTGCTATGAAGCTTGGTGTCATTATTGGTCACGACTTTTCATCTGCAGAAAACTCAGGGCCCGCACACCAAACCAGAACCCAGTCCAGCACCAGTTTCCTCTTGAGTCGAGAGAAGAGGTCAGAGGAACTTAGTCATCTTTGACACTATTACGTTTCTCTGCTTTCCTTTTCTTTCTCAGAAGAAGCATTGAACTTTATTTTCCCTCTCTATCTCTATAGGCGGCCGTCACTCAGCCAGAGGGTGGCACAGAAAGAAGGGCAAAAAACAAGAAGAGCAGTCAGTACATGGAGAGGCTCAACTCAATCTATGGTGTCTAATGAGCTGACGAGCCTTTCAAATGAAAGTCAGACATGGACAGAGTGTTCAAGAGAGAGATCAAACTTGACAGGCATTAAATTTTTTATTTTCAAACCAGGTGCTTCAAGGGAAGGCGATCAGAAGGAGGACATCTTTGTCACTGATGCCTTCGGCTTATCTAACAGTACCACATTAAAACCAGTGCTTTCACTTTAAGGGATATTGTTTTTAGCTTATCTTTTTATTTTATGGCTTTGAATCTGACTGTTCTTAGTGTGCTGTGTTGAATGTTTTCCTGTCTGCACTATTAGCTCACCAAGGCAAGTTCCTAAGAATGTTTCTTGTAATGGCAATAACGTTACCTTGTGTATATAGATATGTTTATATATATATTTATGTATAGATATGTTCTTAATAATTATTATGTTGTATGTAAATATGTTGTATGTAGATTTGGAGTTGTGATGAAAGTAATTTCCCCCTGGGATTATTAAAGTATTTTTGATTCAGATTCTGATCAAATCAACTCAACAGGCTTCTATTGGGAGTCGGTGCCCCCTAGGGTTCTGTGGGGGGAATGACAATCAAAATAAATTACATTCAGAGACTACAGTGTAGTGTTATTTTCAGTTAATCCAGTGAACTAGTCCAGAGTAGAAGTTGTTGACTCCTCTGGGGAAAATGCATATATAATTTACTGAGCATCAAGATCTGGTTGTTGTTCTTTTTTTAAACACCAAAAAGCAATTGGTGTGCTCTGAAAGCACAGTCAGAAGTACGGTCACACTATGTGGGTGTTCAGCTCTGTGTAGAAGTGGTTTTCATGCAGTTGAATATGTCTACGTATATATTTCAGCTGATTGCTAATGAAATTATTTTACAGATGATTTTCAAGACGGACCAAGTTTGAATTCTCAAGATTCAAATTTGAATGAAGTTGTTGTCTATTAGACTCTCACATGACTTAATTTTATGTTCTACAAAAGCTGTGACACATCAGTGTACACACATCTTAGTTTTGAGCAGTTAGACCCCAACAAACCACTTCCTTTCCTGTGCACCTCCTCCACAAATACATTTATTAACTGATGCTGATGTTCCCGTCTGACTTTCTCTGTCTGGTGGTCATCATGTTCAGCTTTAAAGCAGTTCTGCTCTCCGTTCAACTATCAGTTATGTGCCAAGTCTTTGCAGGTATAGTGGAGATTTGTGTTTGTGATGCATACTTTGTTGTGGATTTAATAATAGATATCATTTTATATTGATTGATTGTTTCCTTCACTGTTAGGGGTTCCTGAAAACCACTACTGGGATATACTGGTGTTCAGAGGAGACTCCATCATGTTCACATGCAACACATCCATGGCAAATATAACTCTAATCAAATGGACCAAAGGCAGATCTGTTTTTATTTATGCAGTCATTAACAATAAGACTTTTTCAAATTTCACCTCTCACAGACTGAGAATAGACTCAAACTCATCAACAAAGCTGCATGTTATTAATGCTCAGTGTGATGACGAAGGACTTTATATATGTAATGTAACTAGTATTGATGGTCCAAGCTCTGTTGTGTGGAATTTAACAGTGTCTGAAGTGTCTGAGAAACCTGAAGGTAGGTAGAGCACAGAGCAGGCCCAATCATCTCCATACCAGACTTAATGCATTTCAAAGCTCCCACTTCATGCTGCTTAAATTCATTCATGTCTGATTTTCTGCAGAAGTCAGTTCATCGTGGTATTTTCTATACATACTCACATCTGTAATTGGATTGCTCTGTGGCTTCACTCCAGCTCTCTGTCTCTGCAGGTGAGTGATCGTTTTCATTTAGATCTGTGTGCAAAAGTTGTAGCCTGTCATCATTAGGTACATCTTGTATGTGCTTTATTTTTAAACAGTTCAAACTAATTCATGTGCCTGACAATGACTTCCTCCACACTCACACATTTGTTGTCGTTTGTAACCGAAGCGTTGGCTAGTTGCATTGTCAGACATTTCCGTATTTCCTAGAGTAACTAAATCTTTTTCGTGCAGTATAAAATTGTTAAAGGTCCAGTGTGTAACTTTTGGCAGAAATGGAATAAAACACTTATAGGTATGTTTTCATTAGTGTATAATCACCTGAAAATAAGAAATGTGTTTTTGTTATATGAGTCGTTTTTATCTACACAGGGAGCAGGTCCTCTTCTACAGAGTCCGCCATGTTGCTACACAAACTATAGTCAACTTTGGTCTTTTGTGGTTTCTTCAATATGCTCGAAAGATTGAGCTGTGTTTAAATGGTTGCGATCTGCAACTTCATTGCTAAATGACGCTAAATGCTACTGGACCTTTAATTTGATAACAAACTTGCGTTGTGTGAGATTTTTAGATTACATATGCCATTTACTGCAGCATAGAGACCCTTTTCACAGCAGAAAAAGCACAGGTATAAATAACGTTAATGAAAGTGTCCCAGTCAGCCATGTTAGTGTGTGAACACGAACAACACCACAGCCCTGGAGCTGGCTCACCTAAATGGAATGCAGCCATCATTAATGTTTTTAATTCCACTTGTGCTTGTTGTGCTTTAACAAGTAAAAATGTCTGCCGTGAAAAGGGTCTGTTCCTGCCACAATGACAAAAAATATTTGCTCAGTTTCTCAGTCTTTCTCCATCTGATTCTGTCCAATGTTCCTCATTTTCATGTTACAATGACATATTTTCCTGTTATCACTACATGCTACTTGTTGTAACAACATGTTGAATCCCAAATATTTATGTGAAAATCAACATATTGTTTAAAATGAAGTTTCTTTTTATTTTGACAAACCTACGTATCTATTTACGATTTTTCTTTTCTCATAATATGATGAATTTATATGTTTTAACAAGAAACCTACATATGTTGTTAAAATGAGAAGAAGATCCATTCAGTGCTTTAACATTATTAAAGAGCTGCAGGTAAGACGAGTGTTGAACAAACAGGGTGACATTGTGTTTGAAACAGTAATGTTTAAATTAGGTTTAACTTCAGTTTGTAATTTAGCAAATAAATATATTTCCGAGTCGCCATCCTCCATCCCATAATGAGCACAGTATCTCTGACCGGCATATATTTTTGCCATGATATATAATATCACTTTCCATTTTATTGATTTTGTTGGTGCAGCTGGATTTCCCTTCTATAGACAATGCTACGAAAGGGTAAAAGTGCAGCTTTCTCCAGATTTTTTGCAGAAAAATAAAATAAAAAATAAATCAGCAGCCTGGGCAGGAGGAAGAGATGGAGGGAGATGAAACAGGAGAGCAGAGTGAAAGGCAGAGGGCGACAAACTCACAGGAGGAAGAGATTAGGAAATGAGAGAAAGAATGAATGAGATGATAAAGATCTCAATGTGATGGATGAAGAACAGAGAGAAAGCGAGAGATGACACAGAATCACAGAGAGCAACAGAAGAAGAGACAGATGATCCAATATGTATTTTAATTCAGGAACGTCCTCCCAACGTCCTCCAGTGCCGTACTTAAGTACTGGTAACTACTTGAGTATTTCCATTTAATGCTTATTTATGCTTCTACTCCATTTCAAATAGAAATATTTAGAAATATAAATACTTTTTACTGAACTACATTCATTTTACAGCTTCTTTTTACATAATAAATATGAATGTGCTCTTTTTCTTGGACTCCCAATGAAAGAGCAGAGTGAAAGACAGAGGGCGACAAACTCACAGAAGGAAGAGATCAGGAAATTAGAGAAAGTATACAAACTGGATACTTACACAGGGAGGTGTCTGGTACTTTTCCAGGCTTTTATCCTTACATGTTATCATTACAGATTCTCAACAGTCATTCTTTTTTTCCCTCACCTTTCTTTTTTCAGAAAAGTTTCCCTGAGAGGAAGCTTCTCTTTTTCAGGAATGCACCATGCACTTAATTGTGTTATGGCAGCAATAAGCACATGAGCATTTTAACACATCAATTCCCATAACATTATAAATAACACACACACATACACACACACACACACACACACACACACACACACACACACACACACACACACACACACACCATACAGAGAATGTGTAATTTACTTTTAATACTTTACATTAAGTACATCTGAGTACTTCTTCAACCACTGCTCCATGTTATAGATCTGCCACAGACTCCCAGTAAACAGCATCAACTCATTCTCATATAATAATGTGTCTGAAACAACTGGAAAGTGCTGTGCAGACGTATTGTTGCTCACAATTTTGTCTTTGCAGAAAAATCTGGACCAAGACCCCAAACCATGACTTAGTGAGTAACAGGACCCTGATTTATGCCCAGTCTCACCTTCAGTTGGGAGGAGAGGTCAGAATAATGTTGTCATTACTGAAATGTTCTCATGTCTCACAAATACTTTTTCAGTCATCTCTCTTATTTTCTTCATAGTTTTTGTCTTTCTTGGAGTTATAGTGAGTTTATGTCCACTTTCTGTCCCCACAGGTTGTTCCTGCTCAATATCAAAGTTGTGTAGAATACAGGATAAATCACAAGCAGGAGGAGTCAGTTCTTCAATAGGTTCGATTCAGTCTGTGGTCTGTAGAGCATGATGTTCAGATTAAAGCCGAATACGAAATAAGAGATATGTGGGACACAACGAGAGGATTGTTTTGATGGAAAATATTGTGAAACCAGACCAGAGATTGATGGCCTTGTTAAAAATAAACATGGAGAAAAGTTGATTATTTGATTCAGTTTGGGACCATTTAATCCCATCTTGCACTGTAATTTCTTTTATTTCACTGTTTATTTTTATCTTCTTTTTTTATTTCACTCATGTTTCTTTTACATCTTGTCTTAATACCTTTTATATTTAATATTCAGCATTTGAATTGTCTTGTTATGTAAAAGTCCAATACAAATAAAGTTGCCTTACTTTGTCTTGCCTATAATTTTCTGAGTTGAAGGTTAAACGATAAATACATCTTCTTGTTTTACTACAGAGGGAAAATGGAGAACTCACCCTGTAATTCTTTATCTCATAATATGCCTACTATTGTACTATGCACTATGAGCTCACCAAGGCAAGTTCCTTACAATGTTTCTTGTAATGGCAATAAAGTCAACTCAACAGGCTTCTATTGGGAGTCAGTGCCCCCTAGGGTCTGTGGGGGGAATGACAATCAAAATAAATTACATTCAGAGGCTACAGTAAAGTGTAGTGTTAGTTTCAGTTAATCCAGCGGAGGAAAAATGTGAGTGTCTGTTTCTCTGCTGTTTTCCTCAGTGGACAAGGGACACAGATTTATAGTCTTATTATGCTGCCACACAGAAAATTGTCAAATGAGATTGGTGAAATTTCTTTGTTGTGTAGTATAGTTTCCCCACGAGAGAGGCCATTTTGTAAAGGCAAGGATTTAAACAGATTTAGTCATTGTAACAATGTGACGTGATAGTGAACTAGTCCAGAGTAGAAGCTGTTGACTCCTCTGGGGAAAATGCATATATAATTTACTGAGCATCAAGATCTGGTTGTTATTCTTTTTTTAAACACCAAAAAGCAATTGGTGTGCTCTGAAAGCACAGTCAGAAGTACGGTCACACTATGTGGGTGTTCAGCTCTGTGTAGAAGTGGTTTTCATGCAGTTGAATATGTCTACGTATATATTTCAGCTGATTGCTAATGAAATTATTTTACAGATGATTTTCAAGACGGACCAAGTTTGAATTCTCAAGATTCAAATTTGAATGAAGTTGTTGTCTATTAGACTCTCACATGACTTAACTTTATGTTCTACAAAAGCTGTGACACATCAGTGTACACACATCTTAGTTTTGAGCAGTTAGACCCCAATGAACCACTTCCTTTCCTGTGCACCTCCTCCACAAATACATTTAAAAACTGATGCTGATGTTCCAGTCTGACTTTCTCTGTCTGGTGGTCATCATGTTTAGCTTTAAAGCAGTTCTGCTCTCCGTTCAACTATCACTTATGTGCCAAGTCTTTGCAGGTACAGTGGAGATTTGTGTTTGTGATGCATACTTTGTTGTAGATTTAATAACAGATTTCATTTTATATTGATTGATTGTTTCCTTCACTGTTAGGGGTTCCTGAAAACCGCTACTGGGATATACTGGTGTTCAGAGGAGACTCCATCATGTTCACATGCAACACATCCATGGCAAATGTAACTCTAACCAAATGGACCAAAGGCAGATTTGTTTTTACTTATTCAATCATTAACAATAAGACTTTTTCAAATTTCACCTCTCACAGACTGAGAATAGACTCAAACTCATCGACAAAGCTGCATGTTATTAATGCTCAGTGTGATGACGAAGGACTTTATATATGTAATGTAACTAGTATTGATGGTCCAAGCTCTGTTGTGTGGAATTTAACAGTGTCTGAAGTGTCTGAGAAACCTGAAGGTAGGTAGAGCACAGAGCAGGCCCAATCATCTCCATACCAGACTTAATGCATTTCAAAGCTCCCACTTCATGCTGCTTAAATTCATTCATGTCTGATTTTCTGCAGAACTCAGTTCATCGTGGTATTTTCTATACATACTCACATCTGTAATTGGATTGCTCCTATGTGGCTTCGCTCCAGCTCTCTGTCTCTGCAGGTGAGTGATCGTTTTCATTTAGATCTGTGTGCAAAAGTTGTAGCCTGTCATCATTAGGTACATCTTGTATGTGCTTTATTTTTAAACAGTTCAAACTAATTCATGTGCCTGACAATGACTTTCTCCACCCTCACACATTGTTTGTTGTTTGTAACCGAAGCGTTGGCTAGTTGCATTGTCAGACATTTCCGTATTTCCTAAAGTTACTAAATCTAATTTGTGCAGTATAAAATTGTTAAAGGTCCAGTGTGTAACTTTAGGCAGAAATGGAATAAAACACTTATAGGTATGTTTTCATTAGTGTATAATCACCTGAAAATAAGAAATGTGTTTTTGTTATATGAGCCGTTTTTATCTACACAGGGAGCAGGTCCTCTTCTACAGAGTCCGCCATGTTGCTACACAAACTATAGTCAACTTTGGTCTTTTGTGGTTTCTTCAATATGCTCGAAAGATTGAGCTGTGTTTAAATGGTTGCGATCTGCAACTTCATTTTTAAATGACGCTAAATGCTACTGGACCTTTAATCCAGTAACAAACTTGCATTGTGGGAGCTTTAGATTACGTATGCCATTTACTGCAGCATAGAGACCCTTTTCACAGCAGAAAAAGCACAGGTATAAATAACGTTAATGAAAGTGTCCCAGTCAGCCATGTTAGTGTGTGAACACGAACAACACCACAGCCCTGGAGCTGGCTCACCTAAATGGAATGCAGCCATCATTAATGTTTTTAATTCCACTTGTGCTTGTTGTGCTTTAACAAGTAAAAATGTCTGCCGTGAAAAGGGTCTGTTCCTGCCACAATGACAAAAAATATTTGCTCAGTTTCTCAGTCTTTCTCCATCTGATTCCGTCCAATTTTCCTCATTTTCATGTTACAATGACATATTTTCCTGTTATCACTACATGCTACTTGTTATAACAACATGTTGAATCCTAAATATTTATGTGAAAATCAACATATTGTTTAAAATGAAGTTTCTTTTTATTTCGACAAACCTACCTATCTATTTACGATTTTTCTTTTCTCATAAGATGAATTTATATGTTTTAACAAGAAACCTAAATATGTTGTTAAAATGAGAAGAAGATCCATTCAGTGCTTTAACATTATTAAAGAGCTGCAGGTAAGACGAGTGTTGAACAAACAGGGTGACATTGTGTTTGAATCAGTAATGTTTAAATAAGGTTTAACTTCAGTTTGTTATTTAGCAAATAAATATATTTCCGAGTCGCCATCCTCCATCCCATAATGAGCACAGTATCTCTGACCGGCATATATTTTTGCCATGATATATAATATCACTTTCCATTTTATTGATTTTGTTGGTGCAGAAGAAATATTTAGAAATATAAATACTTTTTACTGAACTACATTCATTTGACAGCTTCTTTTTACATAATAAATATGAATGTGCTCTTTTTCTTGGACTCCCAATGAAAGAGCAGAGTGAATGGCAGAGGGCGACAAACTCAGAGAAGGAAGAGATCAGGAAATTAGAGAAAGTATACAAACTGGATACTTACACAGGGAGGTGTCTGGTACTTTTCCAGGCTTTTATCCTTACATGTTATCATTACAGTTTCACAACAGTCACTCTTTTTTTCCTCACCTTTCTTTGTTCAGAAAAGTTTCCCTGAGAGGAAGCTTCTCTTTTTCAGGAATGCACCATGCACTTAATTGTGTTATGGCAGCAATAAGCACATGAGCATTTTAACACAACAATTCCCATAACATTATAAATAATACACACACACACACACACACACACACACACACACACCATACAGAGAATGTGTAATTTACTTTTAATACTTTACATTAAGTACATCTGAGTACTTCTTCAACCACTGCTCCATGTTATAGATCTGCCACAGACTCCCAGTAAACAGCATCAACTCATTCTCATATAATAATGTGTCTGAAACAACTGGAAAGTGCTGTGCAGACGTATTGTTGCTCACAATTTTATCTTTGCAGAAAAATCTGGACCAAGACCCCAAACCAGGACTTAGTGAGTAGCAGGACCCTGATTTATGCCCAGTCTCACCTTCAGTTGGGAGGAGAGGTCAGAATAATGTTGTCATTACTGAAATGTTCTCATGTCTCACAAATACTTTTTCGGTCATCTCTCTTATTTTCTTCATAGTTTTTGTCTTTCTTGGAGTTATAGTGAGTTTATGTCCACTTTCTGTCCCCACAGGTTGTTCCTGCTCAATATCAAAGTTGTGTAGAATACAGGATAAATCACAAGCAGGAGGAGTCAGTTCTTCAATAGGTTCGATTCAGTCTGTGGTCTGTAGAGCATGATGTTCAGATTAAAGCCGAATAAGAAATAAGAGATATGTGGGACACAAAGAGAGGACTGTTTTGATGGAAAATATTGTGAAACCAGACCAGAGATTGATGGTCTTGTTAAAAATAAACATGGAGAAAAGTTGATTATTTGATTCAGTTTGGGACCATTTAATCCCATCTTGCACTGTAATTTCTTTTATTTCACTGTTTATTTTTATCTTCTTTTTTATTAGTTTCTTTTACATCTTGTCTTAATACCTTTTATACTTGATGTACAGCATTTGAATTGTCTTGTTGTGTAAAAGTCCAACACAAATAAACTTTGCCTTACTTTGTCTTGTCTATAATTTTATGAGACAAGTGGGAAAACGATAAATAGATCTTCTTGTTTTACTACAGAGGGAAACTGGAGAACTCATCCTGTAATTCTGTATCTCATAATATGCCTACTATTGTACTATGTCTACAATTACAAGACAATATGTTATAATTGGATGTTACATGATATTCTGTCACCTGATGACTAACTGGACTAGCTGTGACCAAATGTGCTGCCACCATGGTGTTCAGACAGGTTCACTTATTCTAGCTGTTCTCTCATATCTCTTATTTGACGTCTCCTCGCTTGAGCCGGGAGTTGTTGTGGCCCGCCATCTAGCAGTCTGTCCCATAGCGCTTATTTCTGCACTGAGGAGCGAGGACACATGGGAGCAGCCTTGACGAAAGAAATTCACCGTTCAGGATGAACTGCTCCTCGCCTGTTGAAAGTGAAACTGTGGACAAGTTAGTCCTAAACCGCTGCGTTAAAGGCTGTGTAAGGTCCACAACCAGCATAAAGAGAAACGCAGTGATGCGTCTGGTCACATTATTTGTGTAATTTCTACGATAAGATGTTGACAACGTGTTTCTACAGCAGCACCACTATGTTTTTATTGAAGACAACGATGATCCTGAGCTCAGTTACAGAAGGTATGAAGGTATGAAATTTTTTTTTAACAATTTAGCCTACAAGGAGATACATGCCCTTTACAAAATTATTGAGTGAATATATTAAATTACATTTTTATTTCGACACTATTTAATAATCGACACCTATGATCTATATTCACCTTCACGCAGCCCTTTGGAGGTTGCGCTGTTTAACATAGGCTACATGGGCAAAATTAGAAGGTGGGATTGTCCAGCAATACAAGGATTTGGGGATTATGTTGGAAAGAAAATTGAAATTATTTTGGAGGTAGATGTCACTCCAGAACCAGTGTTGTTTTTGTTGGGAGCTATACCCAAAGACCTATATAATGCAGATTAGCAATATACTGAGGATTCTTTTATTAGTTGCAAAGAAAATGATTACAGTGAACTGGAGGGATGTAAAACCGCCAGCAATAGGTCAATGGGTCCAGAGACAAATGTATACATGATAGAGAAAAGACAGCAAGTCTGCAGCTGACTTGTATTTCAAGGTACCTGGGGGTTTGATGGATGTGATGATGTGATGGAGTACTGTTGGGAAGGAATGCCTATCTTAATTCGTCTTGGGAAAATCTTGCTTAGCCACTATCTACAGATATTTGCTCCTCTGCCTGTTGTTGTTATTGCTATTGTTACTATTATTAATATTTTCACTATTCTATTGTCATTTCATACGTTTAATTTTATTTTAACTTATACTGCCAATGTCATTCATTTATTACATTTATACATTTGTCAGGAAGTGTTATGTAAAATTATAAAAATGTTTAAATAAAAAGTTCCCAAAAAAATAATATCTGATATTCATAACATTCAAATGTTCACAGTGCCCTCTTTTTTAAACTGAGAACAAAGACAACAACCTAACAAACAAAACAAAGTGGCGTATAACAGACTTAAGTCCCCATACAGACAATTATCCCTTAAATTAACCCAGGCTGCATACTCAATACGACCGTGGACAACACAATTCAAACAGAAAACAACAGCAAAAAATAATAGTGATAATTAAAAAAACGTAAGAAATAAATGAAAGGTGCCTTGAGCATAGTTACAGTTACATCTGAGAGTTCATTAATCAGATATCCCCTCTTAAGAGGTCCAAAGATAAGATAAGATAATTCCTTTATTTATCCCCCTAAGGAGAAATTAATTTTGACACAGCAGCAATAGGGCAAAGCAGCGCAAAAACAGAAAACAAAGAATATCACAGTAAAAATATTACTAATATTATTAATATTAGAAGATATAAAAACTATAAATTAAAGTATATACACTATTTGTTGTTCAAGTAGGACATGGAGTCCAAAAATATTAAACTTGACTAAAAAACTAAAACTAAACTAAAACTACTAAAGTGGAAATTAAATATAAATAGTGCAAAAGTTTTGTGCGTTGTAGGTAGGAGTTCTAAACCAGTCTTTAGCTGCTGGGGTTGGAGGAACTGGAGGAACTGGAGGAACTGGGAGCTGTGGCGTTGTGGAGTCTGATGGCAGATGGTACAAATGAGCCTCCAAACTGCTTTGAGGCTCGGGGCTGGGTCAGTCTGTAGCTGAAGATGCTCCTGAGCTGCCTCAGCTCAGCGTGGAGAGGATGACAGGGGATGTCCATGATGGCTTTCAGCTTCCCTGGGATGACGTGTCTGCAGGTCTGCAACGGTGGAGTGGATGACGTCACAGGCGTGCGCCGCTACTGTCGATGGAGGAATGTAAACAGTGACGATAATAGTGGCCGTAAACTCACAGGGCAGATAGTATGGCCTTAACCCTATGGCCAGAAGTTCAATATCAGGTGTGCAGATTTCTGCCTTCTTGACAACATGTCCAGGGTTACACCAAAGACAGTGTCGTGCTCAGTAGAGGGCAGGATTTGGGTATTAGCAAAAATGTTAATAATTATCAAAAATAATTATTAAAATGTAATAATTAAAATTAATTATTGGGGTAATTAAGTAATTAATATTTTGTTTATTAATTACAGAATTTTCCTAGGGGCACCCCCCTGTTACCAGGGGCTAATCAATCAAATTTGCAATTTACAGTCTCAAAATTATATGTAGGTTACTTTAATTCTACTTTAATATCTAAATATTTAAATCAAAGGGGAAACCAGACATATGAAGATATGACCACAGAAACCGACTAATCAAAATATAATGCAGTTTATTTAACAATGAATCATCAATTAACTGTTATCATAAAATTATCATCGGTATACAACAATAACCACTACTAAAGAAATCAAATATTGGCTAATATGAATGCCTGGATATAGTGTGTGTGTATATGTGTGTGTGTGTGTGTGTGTGTGTCTCTATGTGTGTGTGTATGTGTAGGGGTATTTGTGCTTGTGAGAGAGAGAGAGAGAGAGAGGGTCAGGAGAGGTAGGCGAGGGACACCCACGCACACCCACGCGAGGGGAGGTGTGTATCGAGGTGACGGCCTAGATGGAGGAGGTAACGTTACAGTGATGACGAAGTCTCACTGATGACGCTACGCTGCCTTCCCATAATGGCGGTCAGTTTAAATGGAATGTGTGATTTACAATACGTGTCTGCTGGCAAAATGGCTGGCCAATCAGAACACGTGTATAGGTGTGTGCGTGCGTGTGTGTGTAAGAGAGGGAGAAAAGGAAAAGAGAGAGTGAGAATAACGCTTGCGCACCGGAGCCGAGGTTCTGACCTGCACCCGAGAATATCGAGCTGAGTTATGCCCACTACAACACAGCGAGATCAGACTCTGATGAGACGATCTCAGGATTCATTCAGCAATTCATTCATTCATTCATTTTATGACTTTCAGTCACCCCAAACAGGCTTTATGGCTCCAACAAGGCCCCTGAAACAGGCTTTGGGGGTCCCACAAGGCTCCTGGAAAATCTCTTTGTTCGACCACATGGCCGGACCCAACTACAGCGAGTCCTCCTCCAGACTTTTTACCGCTCTGTTTCTTCCTGTCTGCCCAAACTAGTGAAAATCTGGCTAGTTGCACTGAACAGTAAACTTAAGTAGCAATGACTTCATGAGCTTCTTCTATAATAAAATTATTACTATTAGAGAAAAAATTTATCACCAACTGCCATCAACGGTTATCAGTGGCTCTCCAAGTTCAGGGACTTCTGTCAATGTAAACTTAGATGTATATTTAGACTGTTTTTCTGCTATCGATCTTCATCAGTTAACTTCAATCATTTCTTCATCGAAGCCATCAACCTGTCTGTTAGACCCGATCCCAACTAGGCTGCTTAAAGAAGTTGTTCCCTTAATTGGCACTTCTTTACTGGATATGATTAATCTTTCTTTATTATCAGGATATGTACCACAGTCCTTTAAAGTAGCTGTAATTAAACCCCTTCTTAAAAAGTCTACTCTTGACCCAGGGGTTTTAGCCAACTATAGACCGATTTCTAACCTCCCGTTCCTCTCTAAGATTCTGGAGAAAGTAGTCGCCAAAGAGTTGTGTGACTTTCTACATAACAATAGTTTATTTGAGGATTTTCAGTCAGGATTTAGAGTTCATCATAGCACAGAGACAGCTCTGGTTAAAGTTAATAATGACCTTCTGACTGCTTCTGACAATGGACTTGTCTCTGTACTTGTATTATTAGATCTTAGTGCTGCATTTGACACCATTGACCATGATATTCTTTTACAGAGACTTGAGCATCAAATTGGCATTAAAGGAACTGCCCTAACCTGGTTTAAGTCATACTTATCAGATCGTTCTCAGTTTGTACATGTTAACGATGAATCCTCCATAAATACTAAAGTTAGTCATGGAGTTCCACAAGGTTCTGTACTTGGACCAATACTATTTACTTTATATATGCTCCCTTTAGGCAACATTATTAGGAATCACTCCATTAACTTTCACTGTTATGCAGATGATACGCAGTTATATCTATCAATCAAACCCAATGAAATTAATCAATTATCTAAATTACAAACATGTCTTAAGGACATAAAATCCTGGATGACCTGCAATTTTCTGATGTTAAACTCAGAAAAAAACCGAAATTCTTGTTCTTGGCCCCAAAAACCTTAGAGACTCATTGTCTAAAGATATAGTCACTCTAGATGGCATTAACTTGGCCTCTAGCACCACTGTCAGGAATCTTGGAGTTATCTTTGATCAGGATTTGTCATTTAACTCCCACATAAAGCAGACCTCTAGGACTGCCTTCTTTCATTTACGTAATATTAGAAAAATTAGACACATACTATCACAGACAGATGCAGAAAAACTAATCCATGCATTTGTTACTTCAAGGCTGGATTACTGCAACTCTTTATTATCAGGTTGCCCCAATAAGTCCATTAAAACGCTCCAATTAATTCAGAACGCTGCAGCACGAGTACTGACAGGAACTAGAAAAAGAGATCACATCTCTCCTGTACTAGCTACTCTGCATTGGCTCCCTATAAAATGTAGAATTGAATTTAAAATACTCCTCCTCACCTATAAAGCTCTTCATGGTCAGGCCCCTTCATATCTTAAAGGGCTCATAGTACCCTATTACCCCACTAGAACACTACGTTCTCTGAATGCTGGGCTACTTGTGGTTCCTATAGTCTCTAAAAGTAGAACAGGAGCCAGAGCCTTCAGTTACCAAGCTCCTCTCCTGTGGAACCAGCTTCCAGTTGTGGTTCGGGAGGCAGACACCCTCTCCACATTCAAGAGTAGGCTTAAGACATTCCTCTTTGATAAAGCTTATAGTTAGGGCTGGATCAGGTGAGTCCTGAACCATCCCTTAGTTATGCTGCTATAGGCCTAGACTATCGGGGGATTTCCCATGGCGCACTGAGCTACTCTCTTCCTCTCTCTTTCTGCACTCATTCATGTCCCTTTAATGCATGTTACTAACTCCACTTCTTCCCCGGAGTTCTTGTGCTTTCTCGTCTCGCAGGTTCTCATGGATCCTGGTGGAGCCTCCTGCCATGGTCCTGCTTGACTGCCATTGCCAATACTGTTGTTGCTGTGCACCTGTCTGTCTGTCTGTTCGTCTCTCTCTCTCTCTCTCTCTCTCTCTCTCTCTCTCACCCCAACTGGTCGAGACAGACGACCACCCACCTAGAGCCGGAGGATCTGTCCTAGGTTTCTGCCTTTTAACAGGCAGTTTTTCCTTGCCCTTGTCGCCAAGTGCTTGCTCATGGTGGTACTGTTGGGTCTCTGTAATTAATGTTAAAGAGTTCGGTCTAGACCTGCTCTATTTGAAAAGTGTCCTGAGATAACTTCTGTTATGAATTGGCGCTATACAAATAAAATTGAATTGAATTGAATTGAATTGAACAGTCTGGTGTAATGTCATTCAGACATGTCTCCGTCAGACATAATATGCTGCACTCCCGATACTCTCGCTGTCCGTTGACCAGGGCCGAGAGCTCGTCCATCTTGTTGTTTAGCGGGTGTACGTTTCCCATGACAACCGAGGGAAGACATGGCTCGTATCTCCACCGCCTCTCTGTCTTCTCGGTCCTCACCAACGTGCCTGCTCTGGTTCCTCTCCTTTGTCTCCTTAACTCCACCGGGATCTCCCTCGGGCATGCGACACGTAAATCCTGATACCGTAGGAAGTCCTCACGTGATTAACCTCCAGTGTTTTGTTGTGTGGTGGTTGTTGTGTCCACATTCCTACACATTGTTTATATTAAAAAAAACTAAATTCAACTACGGCTAAAAAAGTTAAAAAAATAACTACCAACACTGGAGGTCTGTTTACAACAATAAACACAGTGCTGTTTAAGAAGGAATAAAGCGCTAACGTTAGTAAGATTTAAGGCGAAAAAATAAGAGGCGGAGCGGGAGCTGTTGCGGCAAGCTGCCACTCTCTGCAGCGCTTCTAGAACGAAGGAGTTGTTTTCTCAACTGCTGTTCCCATGGTTACGGGTGAACTTTGAACCCCAGTGTTTAGGATAACATAGGCAAGTCCTTAAATGTCAACTGTGTAGCATTTAGGAGGATCTATTGGCAGAAACAGAATATAATATTCAATGGTATGTTTTCATTAGTGTATAATGACCCGAAAATAAGAATCGTGTTTTCATTACCTTGGAATGAGCTGTTTTTATCTACAGAGGGAGCGGGTCTTTTTCCACGGAGGTCGCCATGTTGAACCACCATGTTTCTACAGTAGCCCTAAACAAACAAACCCACCAAAGCAGTGTTTCCCAAACTTTTTTTTCTGGGGACCTACTTTTTAAAAATGACAAACCATGGCGACCCAATTGACAGAGAAGAGCAAATTTGAGCATAAATAAACATTACTGACCATTTTCACTGCTATTTCTGCATCATGTCATTTTCCTGAACAGATAAACCAGCCATTTTGAAGAGATATATGTTTGATAAATCATAACTTTGTTTTATGAATGTGTAATTGAAGACATGCAATAAATACTATAAATAAGACCTAATGAATGCTTAAACTAAGTGGACTAAACTTACCTAACAGACTGAACACAAAGAGGAACATACTGTATGTAATGGCTGATCAGACCACTTCTGAAACAAAAGCAGTAACACAAAGACAAATACTACTAACTACAAAAAGTGTTTAACAATCATAAAACCAAAAAAATAATCTTGACTAAATGGAAATGAACAAAATCTCTAAACTACAGACCCTCTTGCGATGGGATCACCAGCTGCAATGCCGATCAATGTGACCCCTTCTCTGGGAATGAATTAACTAAACTAATAAGGAGAACTTGACTCAAGCTATGCTAACTCAACATGAACTGAGTAGACATACGACATAGGGAACATACTGTATATAATGGCTGATCAGACCACTTAGGAAACAAAAGCAGTAACACAAACACAAATACTATAAACTAAACTACAAATAAAACAAAACAGAACAGTAAGTCTATTAGTATGAATATTTTAACAGTCTAATTGACCACGCTGGATGTAACAGCTCTGCTCATGTATTTATTCTAAACTAGGATGAGTGCAGCAGGGTTACTGACATTTATCACTTTATCACTTAAAGTGCGGCCATTACAGGAAGCAACATGTTGATAAGGCCTGAATCAGAAAAACAGCTTTTGAAATGTATTCAACTTTTAACACAACTCTCTACAGTTTGCAATATTTTCAGGCCCACCTCCATTAAACCTTATTCAGCCGTACATTTCAATGCTTGGCCTTATTCGCCTGTTTCAGATCAGACAACTCGTGGCCTCAGTCTGCTGTCAGAATGGAGGATGCAACGCTACAGATTCTGAGCATGACCTCTAACCTGAATGGCCTCTACCAGTGTGAAGCATCTAACACTTATGGATCAAAATGTGGTCACCTCTATGTGCATGTGACTTCAGGTGAGATCAGGTTTGATTTAGCTGTGGGTTTTTATCAAATAGATAGATAGATAGATAGATAGATAGATAGATAGATAGATAGATAGATAGATAGATAGATAGATAGATAGATAGATAGATAGATAGATAGATACTGGAAGTGTTAATTAAAAGTTCTTTTGTTTTTGTGACATTCAGCTGTAAATATTTGTCTGTGCACCACTGTGTGAACTGGGTTTATGCATTTGTTCCTCTACTGTGTTTTTGGATTTCATCCTGTTGTGAATGTTTCAAAAAAATTCTGGAGAAAGTGGCCAAACAGTTGTGTGACTTTTTACATAACAACAACTTATTTAGGTATTTTTTTCTCTCTGGTTTTTACCACTATTAAAACCCAGAGCTCCTTTACAAGCATTAGACAGTGACAGTAAAGAGGCAGACAGGAAATGAGGGAGAGAGAAGGGTCAGGGCAAGGGACACGCAACCAATGTCACCAAAAACAGTAGTACTGCAGACACTTACATACTGCTATGTATATAAGCATATACTATGTAAATCCTTTGTTGTATATTCATTGTTTTTTCCAGTATGGGAAAAGGTACAAGCAGATAGGGGTCAAGAAGGCGTAGCTGAAGCAGTGAGTCTACGTGCAGAAGTAAACATACAATATTTAAATTGTTACAGTTCAAAGTTAAATCTGTGTGCCTCAAAACCTTTTTTAATATAAAGTATAACAACTATCTCAAACAGTTAAATTTATGATGTTTTTTTACAGTGTTTGTTTACAGTATTACTGTTGCTTTTCTTGTTTATCATAAATGTTCTTTTTGAAATCTGCAGACATCCTGACACTCATTTGAAATTAATATAATGTTTTGAATTATCTGTCTTAGGAATCTCTTTGACATCCTTGGAAACTGGGTTTCAGTTGGAAGGAGAGGACAGGAATGTTGAAAGAGCCGCAAGAGGAGGAGGGTGAACTGAACCAGGAGGGTGGAGCAGCAAGTGGACCTGCAGGAAGGCCAGAGCTACCAAACCAACTCCAGAGTTTTGTAATACTCCTGAGATTATATATATATATAACAAATCATATATAGTTTTTCTAAAATAGTGTGTTGTGGTTAATAATACAAAAATATCTATTGAAGAGATTAAACATTCATAAGTTATCATTTTATCAGTAGAAGAGTATTTTTTTTAATAAATTGGAGGTTAATTTGAAATCATTAGAAACATCAGTTAGTGCTTTTTGCTGTAAGATTAAGGTTGATCTACAGGAAATATTAGTTAATGGGCATTGCAATAATTAAAAGCTATAAATGGACATGTTTCACTTGAATCATGTTTATTTTTTGTCTTTACAGCTAATGTGTGAGTTTTATTCAGTCTTTGGAATATAGTTATTAACACAGAATCATGTCAGCTGGATGTCTTAGCTTAGTGTAAAGAGATTTGCATGTTCTGTTGTGTTGTGTATATCATACTTCATACTATTCATGTTTTATTTAGATTAGATTTGTCTATAATATGTAGAGACGTGGCTATGTGGAGTTTGTAGGAGGAAACACAGGAAAGAGATTAACATCAGTACTCTGAGAAGCTTCAATGGTTGTTTCAGTCAATGAAGGAAGGATGTACGTCAGACACGCAATCATTTACACAGCTAAAGCTCCTTGTTTCAATAATCCTGTGTGAATAAATTGTAATCTGTGTTTGAAAGAAAGGTAGACAGTCTGAATGCCACGCTCATCACACCTTGTACGAGTCAGGATACACAGTTTCACAACTGTTTGTCTAAGTGAGGACTGTCTTCATGGTTGTAAAGGATGTGTAACGGGCTGTTAACAAGCAGAACCTTTGTGAATCAGTCACAGCAGCTATTATGTGCATTTATACGAAAATACTGTGGTATTCACAAACAAATTCAACACTTGGGAGTAAGCATTGATCATCTTTTGGTGACAACCACTTTCAGCCATCTTGTTATATAATTTTAAGGCAGGTTTATTAACCTGATGGTCAGTAACATTTATTTCTTCAGTATACTGATGAAGAATAGCATAAAAGGTCTATGAAAATATTTAGTTACATCAACATGTGTTTAGAGAAATATAGGAGTACTGCTGATGTGATGAACAATGCAGTATTTCCACTCACTAATGTGCTGTATCTAGGTGAGCTTAAGGAAAGTAAATGCCATGTACATAAATGGTAGACTGCTAGCTCATATATTTATATTACAGAAATGTACATTAAAGATGAGATGAACAGAAAGATCAACTCAACCACAGATTGTCATGAAGAAGCTAAGTAACCCACAGATTTCCACATGAGTCCATGGAAAGTAGTTTTACTGGTCAATGTGTATTTCCTGTACAAACATCAGGTTATGGGATGGGGATGACCTGCGAAAAGTTACAGGAGTCTGCTTTTATGAGTTTATGTAGTTATTTGTAGTACATTGTTATATATAAATTGTATTTAACAATTGTGTGTTTGTGTTATGTGCATGACGTTGCAGTGTGACTTGTATTTATGTGAAACTGATACAGATATTAATAATGTACAGCGAGAAGCAAAAAGTAATTTATTAAAAACATATGTTTTAATGTAAATTTAAATGTAACATTGAGTAACACATCTCTGAAGTATTTTTTATTTATAATAATAAGTAGGCTAATATAATCATTGTGACGAATGTGTTTGAGAAATTATTATTATTATTATTAATGAATTAAAAGTTACTAAATTGCATTAAGGTTTCATAGTTTACAATTTAAGCCATTATAAAATTAGTTTGTATTATAAACTTAAGATCACAATTATTTTCACAACTTCCGTTTATGACGTTTGTGTTGATGCCCCGCCCCCTTCCTGTACTGCGTTGTGATTGGCTGAATTCAACTTGTTTGGCGCTAAACGTATAAATTGTTTGTTCGCTGTGTAGATGTAGCTTTGTTTTTTTGCAGAACAGAGAGTTGTTGTTTTTGTTGTTGTTTTTGTAAGGCTTAGAGAGAGTGAGAGAGATATTTCAACCCTTTTCAAGGATTTGAACTAAGCGACTGACGGTGAGTTTATTTATATTTACAGTCAGAATGAGGTCTAAATTGTTGTTGTAGTTGATAATGTGTGTACTGTTGTTTAGTAAATACTGTATGTACTCACTGTGTTTGGCTAGCTCAGACCTAACGCAGGTAAACACAGCAGATACTGAGTGTTTGTGTGTATGATGTATCAATAATAACTGTAACTGTAAAATCTCATCATCAATAATCAATCATGTCACTTTTAGATGCCACGTGGCAGAAACTACCGTCGGTCTCAGGCTGCTCGGAAGAGAGCGGAAGGCCGCAGAAGACAAGCGGCCGTGGAGCTGCTGCCACCCTGCCCTGACTTTGTTCCCCGTATGTGTACAGTGGAAATTGTTTTATGATGACAGCCCAAAGCAATTTGTTGCTTGTTTTCTTTTCATTTGGGGAAGGCAAATGTTTGTTGTTGTTTGTGTAATTCTTGTAATGTTTGTTTATGAATAGGTTGTGGAACAGGGACACGCAGTCCTGTGAAACAATATCCAATTTCTGTGTCGGGAAAGACTCTCAAACTGGTTATTCCAGCTGAGTCTGCTAATAAGAAGGTAATTTATTCATTATTGACCAATGTATTAACAAAAGCAAATTAAAAAAGTAAAAGCAAAAGTAAAAAAATGTGATGTCTAAACAAATCTTTTCCCCCAGTTCGTGCTTATCATTGGGGATTCCCATCTGCGCGCCATTGCAGACGGAACTGTGGGAATTTCAAAGGGAAATCTTTCCTTTGGGGTCATGTCGACTCCAGGGGCCAGTGCGTCTCACCTGAGGACCGAGTTGCTCAACGCGACACTTCCTCGGACCCCCGATGCAGTGTGTATTTTGGCCCCCGGGAACAACCTGACGACCAGCAGTACCCACGATGTGGCCGGAGAAGAGTTCCGGGAGCTTCTGATCAGTGCACGTGATCGTTGGGATAACGTGGGTTATTTTATTTTCTATAACATTATATATTTTTTGGTTTAGTAATTGGGTGTTGTAATTTTAACGTATATGTATTCTAATGGGTTGTCATTTTAAACAACTAGTCTTGTAATTAACAGCTGTTGTTGTGTTTTTAGGTGTTTGTGTTGGACTTTGTTCCGCGGCTGTCTGTTGCACCAGAACTACAGAAGCTCATCAGTCAGGAGTTTCAATCTGTGGCGAAGTCAATGGGTATGTTTCAAATACCAGTGACATGTTTTTAATGGGTCATATTTTCTAGTTATATAGGATAATGTATTACAAATTGATTTTACACTTTCTTAATTAGCAAAAGATAACATTAATTAGTATATTAATTCATATATATTTTTCCCTTTGTAGATATTCCGTACTACTCCACATTTGAACATTTCCCGTTGGGTCAGCTGGATCTGTGGTTCAAAGATAGTGTAAGTAGAATATACTGTGTTCACATGGCAAATGGGGAAGTTTCATGCACAGTCTTCAGTTCAATTTAACTGTTTACATATTGAAAGCAAATGAAATGTTTAGTAGATGTATTGTATCCTTTTCAGGTTCACTTGAGCGATGAGAAGGGCATGGGGGTTCTTGTTAAGTTGCTGCAGGATGCTGCCTATAATCAACTGGAGGTGCAGCAGGATTCTCCCAGAACATCACCCTCAGGTCGGAGGTCGATGGTGATGGAAGAGGTCTTTGTTCCTCCTCCCCCCTCTGACCCATATGTCTGGATGGAAAGGGTGAATGGCAAGAAGGTAATATTTGTAATGTAATTGTGTTTTTGACAGATTTGCTAAACAGTTTACTTGAAAAAAAATGTTCAACGTGCACTGCTTTTAATAAAATAAAAATTTGTCATTGCAGAGGATCCAATCTGAGGAACAGCCCTCTAGTGCACCCAAAAGGAGGCTGGTTCAGCATCAGGTTTGTAGAATAGAACATTAATGGTTAGGATATGTTTATTGGTTGTATATCTATGTAACGTTTTTTTTTTTTTTGTGCAAATGTGACCAATATGCTGTTTCTGTTAATGTTCACAGGTGGATGGAAGTCCAGTTGTGTTGAAGGAGTGTTTCATCCCACTGAATCCTGTCTGGTTCAGCAGTTCCATGTTGGCTGCTATGGATGCTGTGGTTCCATCGCTTCTTCCTAGCCCCGACTGCCCAACCGTTCCACAAGACAAAGAGGTAATTTGATTACAAATGTGTTAATTGAGGTATTTTAAAACTGTTCTTTTCCCTTAAAACACTCCAATATCTGTTTATAAACGTGTGTGTGTGATGTTCTATCAGAAACCGGTCGTGGAACAAGGACTGAAACCTGTTGCCTGCAAGAGGAGACATGCAATGCACCAGGTTTGTCTTTATTTTATAAATATTTATCTGTACAAATGACACGCCCCAATAATGCAATTGTTTCTTTACCGTTGCATTACTTTGTCAATTGGCACTGCAGAACGATGAGTAAATGCATGATTTTGTTTTTGTGTAAACAGGTCAAGGCGACACTCGGTGTTGTGGAGGTGTCTCCCGGGTCGACATTTGCCACCGTTGTGGAAGTGGTTGCAAATGAGGTTAGTACACCTTACACAACAGTTTAGTTTAATTTGATGTGCATGTTTGCGTTTGGCCAATATGAACAAAATGATTGTATATCACTAGCAACGTATATACTATATACACTGTAAATGCAGTCAGTTTTGTTAATGTAATATATTAACCTCCCCCCCCCTTTTTTTTTTGTTAGGTGGATGAAACACCATCTGTTGTGTGTCTGCCTAAAATGAAGACAAACCCTACTTCAGGTTGTGTAGTTGAAGAAGTGTCTGCTATTGAAGATGTTACAGAACAGCAAAATAATACATTAACATTTAACCCATTGTGCCCTAAAGTTGCTAAGAGACTGTGTACTAAATTTAATGTGGACTTGGAACTGCAAGATGTACACAGGTCAGCAGTGTCTGGCTCTTTAGGTCATGTATGTGAGACAGATAAAATTAAAGAAGATGGCAATGGTTTCTTTAGAGCTGTAGCTCAAGTTATCAGTGGTTCTCAAAAGAGCCATAGGAAAATTAGGCTTGCTGCTGTTAAGTATATGCAGATTCAATGTAATGAAAAGATGCAGTTAGCAGTAAAAGACTACATTCAGGAGTCAAAGATGAACTTTGTTGGCATTTGTGCCACAAAGAAAGAAATTCAAGCTACGGCTAATGCTTTTGGAGTCGACATATTTACGTACAGTGATGGAAAATGGCTTAAGTACAGCTGTAAAGCTAAACTATCTAATGGAGGAATATACTTGAAACATTGTGAAAATAATCATTTCGAGCCAGTAGTTTGTGTCCAACAGGTTAACGAGCAAGTTTGTTTTCAATTGTGCAAAAGGTCGGAGACACGGTACCATCTAAGAGATCCAAAAGTACAAGAACAGAGTCCAATGGACACAACAAGTACAATGAAAAAGACAAATTGTTTATCAAAGTATATGAAAAACAAACGTCGCTTCCAAAGTATGTTCAGATATCATAACAATGTGTTGTATAGGGAGAAAGTTAAGGAAAGGAATAGGAGATACCAAGAGCGTGGTTTGGATAAGTTAAAATGAGTATAAGGAAATATCAGATTGATAATTTTGCAGAGAGAAAGTTGCAAGTATCATAGATCTGAACATAAAAACTAAGTGCAGGAACAAAAGTCAAATCGGAACAATTTTATTTTGTGTGCTGCGTTTTCTATAGAGGGCTGTTTAGACGTAAGGTTTTAACTTGTTGGGCTGATTATAATGAGATATAATTGCAGCTAAAATGCATGTAAGGTGTTGGTGTTTTGTGTATATATACATAATGTAATGATGACTGTGTAATGCCATGTCAGTGGTTAAATGCAGCTAGAGGTAACGTGTGGATCTGTTACAGTTGTCATTGTAAGATTAATAGATGTGAATGTTCATTAAACAATTTGGCAGTTAATCCTATTCCACCAGAATTGGCTTGTTTTGAACAGCATTAAATAGCATTACACACATTTATGTCGATGTTGGCGTTACGAAAAGGCTCCTACATGACAGACAGCAACATTGTATGTTCCAGGACAACTGTCTCATGCCTGTTGACATTGGTCAGGAAGCACTGCAATGCAATAGCAATAATCCTCTTAAATTGATCAGGCAAATAAGGACATAATGCATATCATCAAATAAGACAGCATCGTTTCACATTGTCACAGTATTTTAATGATCGGACGATGATGGTGTATATATTTTTTGCACACTAAATGTCTGAGGTTGAGCAGGTGTCAAAAGTAAATGGAGTTAAAATTCAAACTTAGTGAAGACATTAGACTTTGATGGGTATTGTTTCCTTAAACCTATTAGAGATTTCCAAACTTTTTGGTCTGGGAGCACAGCGTGACCTGTTGGCCTCTGTCCGTCAGATAGTTCTGTTTGTTTTCCTCCGCTGATATGCGCTAGAAAAGTTCTTTCTAGTATTTTGAAACGGGAAGGTAGAACAAAACCACTGAAGATTTGTGTGAGCAGATGTGATGTGACCTTTTGTTCCGCAATCCTCTAAACGCAGCAAAAATTGGATTTTTGCTGGCATTGTTTTTTGAGACAGGTCTTTGATGTCTCGTCTCATCCAATTTGCAAAATTGGGGACTACTTTTATAGGTCATACAGCACTGTGGTTTACGGTGTCCATTGCCTCTTTTGGATTGAAGATGCCCCGTTAATTGATGAAACACAGATGAAGAAATAGTTCAGTTCATTGATAAATATGTAACTTGTGAATTACCTTAAGAAGATGAAAAGATGTCGACGTTCAAAAAGAATAAAACTGCAAACCACTATTAAAATGCTGGAATGCTATTATTGATTGATCCAGTTTGTTGTTGGTGCTCACGCATGTATAGTGTACATTATTTCCTATATTTCAAAGGCAGAAACAGATGGGATTGTTAGGAAATGCACAGAGGGTGGCAGCAAAGGAAGGCAATGCTAAAGATGCACTCCCATTAAAGGGAAACACTGTATGTAGATATAGGTTGTGATTTGTGTTCTAACTTATTTAAGGTAGACTTTAAAAACTATACCAATAAAAAGCCTCCTGTCCACCAACTAACCGCCTAATTCGACTGCAGCCTTACATTTCGCCAGGAGAGGTCACTGTAAGTGAAGTTTAGAGTAATGAACCCATTTTCGACACAACTGGTTCAAGTGGTTCAGCAAAAGCTTCATTTGTCCACGTGTGCACGACGCGTGCACGACGTCAGAGCGAGTCAGCGTCATTCACAGTAAAATGGAGAGAACAGCCAAGCCTGACAGTTCACACTTGGATGTACCCTTACTGTCAATGGATGTGCCCTGAGACGTCCTTTCCTCTGAAGCCTCACTAGTATCGACGGCTGGATCACAGCTGGATCAGCGGTCAGTTTTTAAGTTTAGCTGCTTCATGATATTTTCTGCAGTGACATTACTGCGTGCATGGAAACGTTTAAAGTGACAGAAAGCATCCTCACCAGTAAAGTAAGAAAACACTCATCGGCTACATCAATACAACACAGAATAGATAAAGAAATCACCTGAAAGCTCGCGTTGCTCGACAGAGGAAGCACAGGACTAATTTCTACTGGCACCCTTTATATTATTTGTTCATTATGTGGATCTGTATGTAGTGAGATTGTGACTGGATGGAAATGACGACAGACTTCCGTGAAAGCTGAACTAAGGGCTGAGACGAGAGTGCTAGTGGGCGATCGTGGAAATAAGCGACCTAACGGGACAAGTGAATCCAAAGCAGCTGCGTCATATGGCCGTGTAAGGTCCATACCAGCATAAAGAGAAACGTAGTAATGGGTGTGGTCACTATTTGTGTAATTTCTATGATAACCTATGGACACCGTGTTTCTACTATGGTTTTATTGATGTCAACGATGATCCTGAGCTCAGTTACAGAAGGTATGAAGGCTGAATGTTTTTTTTTTAACAACTTACAAGGAGATTTATATATATGTGTTTGTATACACATATATTTTTATCCAGTATATATGTGCATATATACAATTTCTATGATGTTGGAAATGAAACTTTATCCTCCACAAACACAAGGTAAACAGTATAAAAATGCTCATTACAGATTATTAGGGACGGAGCACTAACAAGTGCAAGGACGCTGTTGTTCCTCTAGGAATTATTATTATACCTCTGGGACTTCGACCGCATATTTGGCCCCCACAACATGCTCAAAATGTCATGAAAATTTGCACAAAACTCAGACGTAGCTAAAATACCAATATGACATTGTCCCCGCGCACGTAAGTCCGACATGTTCGAAAATTGCTACGCATGTGTATCATGATAAAAGAAGCAGAAAGGCCTCTTGGACCCATGCCCCAAAACCCACAGGAAGTCTGCAATTTCAATTTTTAATTTTCATCATTTTATGGTCATTTTGACTTTTGGGCTTGTATTTGAACATACTCCTCCTAGGGAATTTCTAGGATCTGCTTCAAAATTGGTCAGTACAGTCAAAACATGGTGCTGAATGAACGCTGTTCATTTTTTGACTGTACGTTGAAGGGCGTGTCCGTGGCGTGCTGTCAAAGTTGGCCATTTGAATGTCACACTGTGATGTCATTTTTGGCATTTCAGGGCTCCTATTTTAACTAACTCCTCCTACAGGTTTTATTGGATCTACTTCAAAATTGGTCAGTGCAGTCAGTTTTTTTCGTCCAACATTGTGCCCGTGGCGTGGCGTCCCGTGGCATCCAATTTCAAACCTTCACCATGAAAGAGGGATTCGTCATAACTTCTGCGTACATGATCCGACTGCAACGAAACTTCACATGTCTGATAAGAGTCCCGCCCTGAACACGTCTATGCGATAATATTCAGACATAGTGATAGCGCCACATGGTGGCAACAGGAAGCAACCGCTGCGTGGCGTTTTTAGCTGATTTACGTGAGATTTTCATGTCGTGGTCCGCACGTGTTACGACAGCACGTGACGCGGCCGCAGCACGCCCCGAGTTGCGTGAAGTGCGAGGTCCGTCCAATGCTGCTTGCAGCTTTAATTATACTAATGTTTGCTTGTGTTATGTGATTGGTTGGATGGTGGTGCATTGTGTTGTTTGAGCCAGGCTCAGCTTCTCTCTGTTCCAATCCAGTGCTCTCATTACAATGAAAACACATCTCTACCTGAACATAATTTACACTATACTAAGCCAGCAAATTTTTATTTTGATATTTCTGAAAAGACAACTGAACATGACCGATGTTGTAACACCTGATATTCATAACATTCAAATGTTTACAGTCCCCTCTTTTTTAAAACTGAAAACAAAGACAACAACCTAAGAAACAAAACAAAGTGGCATATAACAGACAATTCTAACCCAGGCTGCATACTCAATACCACTGTGGACAACGAAATTCAAACAGAAAACAACAGCAAAAAAATGACAGTGATAATTTAAAAAAATACATAAAGGGTGCCTTGAGTATAGTTACAGTTACATCTACCAGTTAATTAATCGGAGGCCAGAAAGGAGCTCAAGAATGGTTTATAAATATCTTCCCTGTATGTAACTGTATTGAAACAAATTCAGTACATCCTCCAACAGGTGCTTTTTTCTTTTTTTTACACAGAAATACAACATGTGTAAAAGAGTACTAGGTTCTTTTTCACATCTTCCAGTGTGAATGCTTTCCATCTATGTATGTTTTTACTTGTGTTCGTGCCTTCTGAGCTGTGATTTTCTGAGCCTTACAGCTCTCCAGGTGACTGGAGGAAACATGACCGTGGTCCAAGGAGGGACCGTTGTCTTACCCTGCAAACTCACTGACACCACCGAGGACCTCAATCAGATTTCATGGCAGCGGAAGACCAAAGAAAGACCTCGGAATGAAAATTTCTTTACCATCGTACAACAAGCTGGACCAAAGTTTGTCAATGGAGAGGATCTTCGATTTAAATTTGTTGGGAGCATGAGTGACCTCAATGGATCTCTCCAGCTATCCAGTGTCACTTTGTTGGACGAAGGCATCTACACGTGTATCTTCACTTTGTTCCCCAGCGGAAACCACATCACAGAGATACCTCTAAACGTTCTTGGTATAATGCAATGAATTTAAACTATTGTACGAGAGAGAGTCTTGTTTCACCTTCTTGCTTGCATGTTGACTTTTTTATGTACCTTGACTCTCTTAGTGCCTCCGGTCTCAAGCCTGAAGGATAATCATCCTGCTTTGGGTAAAGAGGAGGTTTCCCTAGGTACCTGCACAGCTGCTGCTTCCAAACCTCCTGCACAGGTGAAGTGGGTAATTGGTCCTCTGGAAGGAAAAGTGAATGCAATAACCAGCTCCACCAAGCATGACAACGATACGACCACCACAGTCAGCTCGCTGTTGGGAGTACCAACCAGAGAAATCAACCAGCGTTTGGTCCATTGTGTCATCACCAGTGCAGCCCTGTCGAAAGAAGAAACCCTGCCCTTCACCATTCAGGTCTACTGTGCGTACACTAATATTTACATACATCATTAAATTACCTAGCTCACACCTACAGTAAATAATGTGCCTTTTGAGGGGAACATTTGTTTTTATAGCCTGAAGAGATGATGATTGTGTTATTTATGACAGTGAGATTAGAAGACTCAACAAGATTGGCATTCAGTGACTCTCTCTGCATGTTTGGCTTTTGCTGTTGTGGTCTTATTGTTAATCTGACCTTATGGACAGATTGCATTCATCGGCCTGAAACAAAACGTTTATGAGACGATTCTCTAATTTAAACCAGGTCTACGCAGCATGCATGAGCATTGAGTGACAGCTGCGTTGCTGAACTGCTGAGGCTCACACACCTGTGGTGTCCACACAGAGAGCATTTGTGCTGCTGCTCTTCTTTCTACATTGAGTTTGCCTTTGATAAATAGAATAGTAGAATTGTTAAACATTAATGGATTCTGTCCACAGAAACACCAGAGAGCTTTTTTTTTTTTCGTCTGACATTATACAGATATAGACACCGAAACTGTGTGAAAGACAATGACAAAGGAAAAATAAAGACTGATAAAGAAGAAGAGAATGACAAAACATGTTTTGCAATAACCATCATTTGGTTGCCAAACCAGAAGACTAAAAAGAAAAAAATATATGGGTAACAGGTCCTTTCTAAAGTATGTACTGTCCACCAGTCATTGCAAATGCTTAAAGCAGCTTTTTGAATAAGCACCAATGGAGCCTTAATTTATGTATACTCCCAGGCTACCGGAATGTTGCTGGTGGACTCAGTTGTTCCTACCCACTTTTCTACTGACAGAGATAACAATGCATCATTGTCTGCAGGGCACCCTGATACACTCCCACATACAATTTCAACGATCTGTTGTCAGTTATTAAAACATTCCTGTGTGAAACATATAACAGTCAGCCTTTGTCTGACAATAGCTCGACTGTAGCTCTTGCCTCCTGTAATGTTTAAGGTTCTTGTGAATGGTAGATACTTGTTCATTTGAGAAATACAAGCTTTAAATAAACACTGCTGGTGTCTGTGTTTGATAACCTGGGAATGAGAACGGGCTGTGAAGCTGAGAAACTATGGTCGCTGCGAAACTCAGGGTTTGGTTTGTCCATTCTGGGCTACTGTAGAAACATGGCAGACTCCATGGAAGGCAACCTATGGTGTCTGTAGATGTAAATGCCTCATTCTAAGAAAACAAAACCACAATTCCTATAATCAGATGATAATACACATGATTATTATGTATACACAAGTCCAAGGGTCCTTAAATGAAGTGTTTTAGAAAGCCAGATAACGTTGTATCAATATAGATGGGATTGGATCCACATTTAGAGGTTCAGTAATATTCTGATGTATTTTTAGCATTTTCAGCCCTTTCTCTCTCCCTTTGTCTCACAGTCGCACCCATGGAAGTGATCATTCATGAACGAACCAAAGACACATTTGAATGTGTGACTGAAGCCAATCCAAATGCAGACATTACCTGGAGCAGGTACAGTAGTTTGAATGAACCATTCTTAATCAAACAACATTATGCTTCCCTTTTCCCTTGAAGCATTGTTTAGTTTGTCATATTATGTTTCCTGCAGATGTAGCACAGGTAGTATGTCAAATGCAGGATTGACAATGTTTTTATTTCCTATTCTCTCAAACTCAGTCTCTGGGAATGAATAAATTAAACTACTAATACTACTAAATTAAACTACTAATAAGGAGAACTTAACTCAGGCTATGCTAATTTATTTTATGTAGACTAAAAGAAACAAAAGTGGTAACACAAAGACAAATACTACAAACTAAACTACAAATAAAACAGTATTAATATTTTAACAATTAATCATAATCAAGGGCCAAAAACTAATCTTGAACAAAAAATCTCTAAACTACAGATCCTCTTGTGATGGGGTCACCAGCCGCAACGCCAGTCAACATCTTGATGTTCTGGCTCGGATCACACCCATCTTAAAACTCTGCCTTCATTATGGCTGCCTTCTTATTCGCCTGTTTCAGATCTGACAACTCGTGGCCTCAGTCTGCTGTCAGAATGGAGGATGCAACGCTACAGTTTCTGAGCATGACCTCTAACCTGAATGGCCTCTACCAGTGTGAAGCATCTAACACTTATGGAACAAAACTTGGACACCTCTATGTGCATGTGTCTTCAGGTGAGATCAGGTTTGATTTGGTTGTTGTGAATGTTGGTTGGATTGAGTGGGTTTCTGTAGCAAGTTATACCTATGGACTCCTTACACGATGAGAAGCTCACACATCTAGGCCTCCTGTAAAGTTTCCAGCCATGTCCAGATAATTTAATTTGGTATCCGCCTAGCAGCTGAGTAGATGTTGTACTGCCCACTCTCCAATGCATATGGGTAATGATTGCAATGTACTTCAAAACTTAAAGCATGTCCTGTCTTGTGAAGTACTCCGGTCATGGTAATTTCATCTCTCAGTTGCTTTCATAATTCAGGACCTGCAAGGACAGAAAAGCTTGTAGCAAGGGTTCAGTTGGTGTTTGAACTCACTATTAATCAGCTAAACGTAAAGTGCAATATAAAACTAAAAATGTAAAACATCTGTGCATGTCGTAACATTTCACCATATAGACTGAAAACACAAACATGGGTAACTGCTTTCATTAGTAAATGATGTCAAGAGACCTTTTTTCCCAGCAGACATTTCAGGCATGTCATTGCAGGAAAAGCATGTAACACTGAAACCAGCTGCATTCCATTTAGGTGAGCTGGTTGACTCACTCTCTGTTATGGAAATCATTTGTTTCCCCTTCATAAGTAAATTCAAAAAGGTTGTCATTATTTTATATATACTATTAATTGATTCCTATTATAATTTTTGAATTGATTGAAATACTAGAAGTTATTAAGTGAATAAAATATTAAAATGTTGTTGCACATCAACTTGTTAATAGATGATAAAGTGTTTGTAAGCATTTAAAGAATATATTAAGTATCCAGTAAGAGTCTGGCTCCACCATCAATAACTGAATTATGATCACCAAGTTGCACATTTAAATTCTACAAAGCTGGACATGCACTCATTAATCAATAAATCACTGATCACCTGTTGCTTTGCTCATTAAACCAGTCAGACACACAGTAACACATTGAGCTGTCATAACTTAAGCTGGGTATTTTTTCCTCCCTGGTTTCCACCACTATTAAAACCCAGAGCTCCTTTAAAAGCTAAAGACAGACAGTGACAATGAAGAGGAAGACAGAAAATGAGGGAGAGGGGTATGACATGCAACAAAGGTCACCAGCTAGAATCAAACTGGAGCCAGTTGTGATCATGTGTTACATAGCATTCACTGTAACCATTCAGATACAGACCAACCAGATCTCATTTGACTGCCAACGGACAAGGATAGGCTTTCTGGTGGGAGATTAATCAAGATGTATAAATTGGCAGTGTGTATCAGTGTTTTCTGTTCCTGTATTCTTCTTTTATTGTGTCCTGTCTCCCTACAGAGTCCTGCACTGCTGGTTGGACCTTATTTGGTATTTTGCTTTTCCTGAATGCTGCTATTGCTGCTGCAGTGTGGTATCTGTATAAATCCGGGAAATTTCAAAGGTACCAAAAACAGTAGTACTGCAGACACTTACATACTACTGCTTTGTATATAAGCATTTTATATACTATGTAAGTCATGTGGTGGCTATTAGTTAAATAAAGCATACAAAGTATGATCTTGTCTTTCTGTAAAGTTTTATTCAAGTTGTCCATGAACTGTCACACACTCTCGTATATGAAAGCCTGAAAGAGTCAAAATTGAAAGCAGTATCATTTTATGTATCATATCACAGTTACACGTTCCTGAGTTCTGGGACAGTACACAGACAGATAGTGTGGTGCGATGATCATGTCATTGGCTTCTTAGTGAAGTCTCAACATCCCGCTGTTTACTTGACATAGAGTGCAGTTAGAAACAGGGTTAAAGGTTATGTATGGTTTTACAATGACCAGGTAAAAGGGTTATGTAGGTTCTTAAAAATTGCCATTACAATCCTTTGTTGTATATTAATTGTTTTTTTTCCAGTATGGGAAAAGGTACAAGCAAAAGGACGCCGGAAGCTGCGGGCAGGGATCAGGAAAGTGAAGAACAAGCAGTGAGTTGTTACAGGGAATTCTTTTTTTTATTTCCCTCAAAGTTAAATCTGTGTGCATTGAAACCTTCTTTAATAAAAAATATAACAACTATCTCTGATACACAAACATCATACCGGCATTTCTGAAAAGTGTGTAAGTGTAAATGTTCTTTCAGAAATCTGCAGACATCCTGATACTCATTTGAAATTAATATAATATTTTGAATTGTCTGCCTTAGGAATCTCTTTGACATCCTTGGAAGCAACAAGATGGAGCACAGGTGACTGATTTACAGGGTCCACATCAAACAACCTTCCTCACTCAGCTGGTTAGTGAGATGAAGCAGTCATCAACCGTTCAATCAAATGTCATTACTTTGGTAATGTTGTTGTGGAAATTTCTCTGCTGCTGGTGAAGAATGAAATAGAGAACTTCTGCCGTCCGACAAGGTTTTTATTTTCTTTGCAAAGAAAAGGTCAATCAACACGCGAGCGGTCAAAGATGAAGAAAGACCCCAAACATGGGGAGATCTAAACATTTATACCTGAGGACCACCTCTTTCACACCCCTTTGTCTGCTGTAGGGGTCTGGCCCTCCAGGAAGTGCTTTCACACCCCTCTGCCCACTGCAGACATCGGGGCCGACCCCCTGCTGGTGTGTTTTACATATGAGGTGTCCTGCAGGATCTTGCATTCAGGGGGGCATGTAGGAGCACGAGTGCATGGAAATATTAGCGCGAAGGGTCTTGCATCACCAGTTTCTTTTTCTGGGAAGTTAGGGGAGGGAATACCAACACCTGATTGGTTTACAAGCAGTTCGCTTCGCTCGTGTTTTAATATTTTCTGGTATATCTAAGAGTTACCCAGGAGCTCTGTTGACATAGGCTTAGCTAACGTTAGCTACAGCTTGATGAATTGAGTCATTGAACACAGCAGGAGAGAACGCAACGTTAGCCAGCTAAAGCTAGGGTAGACAATTATTATCTAACGCTATCGTTAACGTTAGCCTAACATTAGCTAGATATTGTTACTAAAGTTAGCTGCTAGCTTGTATAGCTAAGAGTTAATCACAAAAAAGAAATAATAAAATGTATTAAAATCTGAATGACATAACATTGTATTGGCTGTCAATCATGATGGAAGAGTAGACAAGTTAAGTTACAGCATGTCCACCATCTCTTGTGGGGGTTATGCATTAAGCCATTTGTGGTGCTTTTACCACATTGTGCCTCATATACTGTAAATGTTAGACCCAGGGACAGGCTGGCATGAAATGGCTTGCATAATACTGAGTAAGGAGGCCATAATATTTTTGACTCATGGCTGAAGTTAAGTTTCTCCAGCTCTCCCCAGGTTGGCAAAAAATGCATCTCAAAATGCATCACATTGATGCTTTAAAATATGGAATATCCAAAATGTTCTGATGCTGATAATAGCAGAGGATTATGAAGTATATTGACATGATATTCTCTATTTTGATATTCCTTCTAAACTGATGTTATGTGTTGGGCAGGTTTTAATCTTTCCAACATCAGTGTTACACAGCTTTTGTATTTTGAGCTCTATGTTCTGGGTAAACTTACTGAAGACAGACTGACCTCAAAGTCAGCCAAAATAAGACGACATGTTAAAGTTCAAAGGTTAAAATTAAGTTCTGTGTTACAAATGCTGCAGAAAAAATATTTTTTCTAAAATGAATACAAAGTGTTGTTACTGCATATTCTTATAAGAACATCATAATCAGTCAAATTCTTGTCAAGACAATCACTATGAACCGGTATGGAGCTGCTAATAGCGCTAGAGGAAACTTTAGTGGACCTCTAAAGTTATCAGGTTACTTGGTTAATCATGAGGACCATAAAGTTCCAACCTAATGGGGGTGCAATAAAATCCGAGGATAGAGACACTCAGGTCCATCCGCTGGGGACCCTGAATGCGGTGGACTAACAAATCCCCACCATTTCTAGATCTGTTTTTAGATTTATAAAGTGTCAATCATAAACCTGAAACCTGTCTGTTTAATGTTGTCCTTCCCTTTCTGGGCTTGGAGTAGAGTAGATAAGTAGATCTCCTTTACTCAATGTAAATATGGCAAGACAGTAAACACACACCTCAAACCAACAAACTCACTCTCTCTCAGGCCTCAGAAGATCATCATCAAAACACTGCACTGTAGCGCTTCAAAATCTCCACAGGGGAGTAAGGGAAGACTAACAGGGAGAAGGTGGGAGCGGTGGTAGGTAGGGATTGTTGATTTGCTATCATCATCATTATTTTATTTAATACTTACTATTACTATTTATTATTTTGTTTGGATGTCTCCTGCGCGTGCCTTTTGCTTTTCCTAATAATTGTATTGTCTATGAAAATGTACTGAATGTACTTATGTAATGTTTGTGAAACATGCAATAAAAACATAAGTTAACATGGCATTTACCAGACCTGTGGTAGCCCATTCCCCATCTCTGCTTGATGAGAGCAGCTCGGGGCTACATTAGCAACAACTACTTTGGGTTGCATTGTGGGTAATGTAGGCCCCAGGTTTTAACAAGGAAGAAGTATGCCTAGAATAAAAAAGACTCTCTGGATCTGCGGCATCAGTTTTGCCCTTTTTTTAAAACAATCTTAAAAAAAAAAAAAAAAACCTGAATGTGATGAATGAAGGACACAGAGAGAGAACCAGCTAAACAGTAAAAGGCTAAATCGTTGCATCAGTGTGAACAGTTTAGTAATTAGAATCATCATTTCTTAAGCCAAAATGCCAAACTTCTTAATTGTGAGGATTTCTGCTTTTCCATGAGATAGTAAACTAAACATCTTGGTGTTTTTAGTTTGTTGGTTGGACTAGACAAAACATTTGAAGAAGACATTTCATACTCAGACACAATATTTGTCTCTTAAACTCCTACAAACTGGTGCATGTTTATCTTGCTTTGTCCGAACACAGACAAGGTGGCTCCAAGGCTCTGAAAACACAACTCGCCTCTACTGTACTTCTCCTTTTGACTCTGTGACAGCAAGGCTGCACATTCACATGCTTGCACTCTTTGTCTGGCCACGGTTTTCATACAGTTGCTATGTGGGCTGATACAGATTCGGTCTAGCCCTTTCCCAGGCTTTTAGATAAGATATCATTACAGTTTCACAACAGTCACTCTTTGTCTTCTCACCTTTCTTTGTTCAGAAAAGTTTCCCTGGGAGGAAGCTTCTCTTTTTCAGGAATGCCCCTTACCACATTCACACTTGAATGGTGTTAGGTCATACTTCACCATGCACTTAATTGTGTTATGGCAGCAATAAGCACATGAGCATTTTAACACAACAATTCCTATAACATTATAAATAATACACACACACACACACACACACACACACACACACACACACACACCACACAGAGAATGTGTACTTTATATTAAGTACATCTGAGTACTTCTTCAACCACTGCTCCATTTTATAGATCTGCCACAGACTCCCAGTAAACAGCATCAACTCATTCTCATATAATAATGTGTCTGAAACAACTGGAAAGTGCTGTGCAGTGTGCAGACGTATTGTTGCTCACAATTTTACCTCAAACCAGGACTTAGTGAGTAGCAGGACCCTGACTTATGTCCAGTTTTAAGATATAGTGAGTTTATTTCCACTTTCTGTCCCCACAGGTTGTACCTGCTCGATACCAAAGTTGTGTAGAATACAGGATAAATCACAAGCAGGAGGAGTCAGTTCTTCAGTAGGTGCAATTCAGTCTGTGGCCTGAAAAGCATGATGTTCAGATTAAAGCTGAATAAGAAATAAGAGAAACGGTATGTGGGACAGAAAGTCCAAGAGAGAGGACTGTTTAGATGGAAAATGTTATGAAACCAGCCCAGAGATTGATGGTCTTGTTAAAAATAAACAAGGAAAAGCTTAGGGCGTTTCTTGTTTCTGTTTGCCACAGGCATCTGTATGATTCAGTTTGGGCACATTTAATCCCGCCTACTGCACCCTATTTCTATCTTTTTATTTTCAACTTGCGTTACTTTGTCTTCCCTATAATTTACTGAGATGAAGGGTCAATGATAAATACATCTTCTTGTTATACTACAGAGAGAAAACTGAGAACTCATCCTGTATCTCATAAATATGCCTACTATTGTACTATGTCTACAATTACAGTTACAAGAAAATATGTTAGAACTGGATGTTACGTCGTATTCTTTTACCTGGACTAGCTGTGACCAGATGTGTTGCCACCATGGTGTTCAGACAGGCTCACTGTGATAGCTGTTGTCTCTGTATGTGGGTGTATGTTGACGGTGTGGCTTCCTAACCCAGCATGTTACTAACCTCCACACCTGGTCTGTATCAAGTTAACAACGCCTGAAGAACCAGACTCCAGACTGTTCTGTCAATCAGGTGGTAGTGATTCTCCCTGCTTCCTGTGCTTTTTCTAACCTGGGTTTTTTTGGTTCTTAGTCCAACCTCAATTTTACCACTACCTACATGTTGTTTCAGCAAATACCTTTTTCAGCCATTTCTCTCTTCAGCATGTCTGCTCCTGCCTTCAAGCCCCATTACCCACACCTAGACTCCATTTACAAGCCATTTCCATGGACCCTGTGTTTGCTTTTGGGTGGACTTAAAGGCACAGAACCCAGCTGAAATGTGATGGATAGTATTGCCAGATGAGGTGTTACTGCTCTACAGACAGACATGTACATTAAAGTTTGTGCTATCGCAGCTATAACAACTTCCCTATCTAATATTGGAATATATTTGGTTACATTTTTTGTGCTGTCAAGAGGATCCCTGTTATGCAAATCTACTTCATGATCCACATCCTGTCTCCTTTTTAATCTCTTTTCATGACATGAGGGTTGACACAGCTCAGCTTGTTGTTGTAATGTCGTACAGACAGCAGTCTAATTGATTTCTCTACAAATAGAAGATAGTGTCAACAACTGAATATTAATTATGTTTGTTTAATATACATTTATATGATGATTGTGGATTAATATGTTAGTGCTATGATATAATACAGGATGTGGAAATGTGTTAAGTGACCAGCAGATGGTTAAAAAATGTGTTTTTAAAAACACAGGACCACCTGTTTTTAGGCTTTGCATGTTTAAGATGGATGTTCGATGTTGTATTAGAGGTTTATGGTTGGAGGTTGTCATGCAAAGAGTAAATCAATGCCTATATTTAAGACTGCTGAAGGTTTGATGAATATTTCAGACAAACTCATCAAGTTGCTTGTTTTATTTTTTTTATTTTTTATTGGAATTTCCCCATTGTTGGACAAATAAAGGAATATCTATCTTTAAGAGTTTCCTTCCTTCCTCTTCCTTTTAATTCTCTGACATATAATCTAAAATCTTAATAAATTTGTGCTTTGTAAGCATGATGCAATTTTTTAAGATAAACCAAACTGCAGTGGTGTAACAAACAAGTATTGCACCTAAGTACAATTAAGGGTAATTATACTTGGGAAAAGTCTACCCCAGAAAAGTCTTTATTCACCTGCTCCAAAAAGTTTTGTTTAATGATAAACATAATTTACTCACCACTCAGTAGCCTCTTATGGAATATGTTTGGTCTTCATGTATCACTCATACATATATACAAATATGTGTACAAAATTAGAGAAAGGAGTCTGACTGAATGTATGTTTTTTTATGTTCTTTAAAGTAAGATGGGCATTCTTGTCCCACATTTATTATTGTATTTTCTACTAAAAACTTGGAAGATACCTCTTATTACCACAAATTTGCAAAACAATTTTGAAAACGGCAAACTGTCCCTTTAAGTGCCCAGTACACAGTATGGGTCCCTTTTTATTTATTTTTTGCTATGTTTCTTCTTCTTAGCTATTATTTTTAGCCCCTTTGACTGCGTTTTTGCCCCCCTGAACACATACGAAAACTCGGCAAAGTTGTCAGGCCTGGTGAAAAACTGGATATTCTATGCGTTGCTTTCGGGTCAGCCACTAGGTGGCGCTACTATCATGAAAAGTGTGTTTAGGCTAATAACTTCTGCATAGTTTGTCGCACATTCAAAACACCTTATAGCCACACGTTCGGAAAAATAAGCATGCTATAAAATTAGGACTTCCTGTAGATTTTCCGTCAAAACAGGAAGTGGGGCTTTGCTCCACATTGGTATGTCCTATTGACACCACCTTGGGTCCATAGTTCCCCATGTCTTCCTTAGGCATCGTACACAATTTCAGGCCATCGCCACAAGGTGGCGCTCTTTAAAATTAAGAAGTTTATATCTCCGCATGGGCACGTGTGATTAAAATGAAACTTGGTACGATGCTTGCCCATGGCTCCCTGAGGCTTGCTAAAAAATACAATACATGGCGAACTTTTCGCCTTGTATTTGAATGAACTCCTCCTAGGGAATTTATTGGATCTACTTCAAAATTGGTCAGTACAGTCAAAAAACATTGCTGATTAAAAGTTGTACTATTTGTGACTGTACATTGAAGGGCGTGTCCAGAGCGGTCTTCCTCAGCTTCTGGTGATGAGGGCTTGGGAGTGGGGTCACGTGGGGTGACGTGGCGTGGCATGGCTACGGTGGACGACCACCGTGCTGGACCCGACGTTGGTTGATGGGAAGGTCCCGCCCAACGCTGCTTGTAGCTTTAATTTACTTTTTTTTTTATTGAACATGTTAAGTGTTGTAATTTGATGGCGCCCTTACTCCCTGTATTACGGTAGACTGATATGCTGTACTGCTGTATTGTGAAAGGTTTACGGTCACAGAAAGAAAAATGCCGACTGCTATGCTGAGCTAATCAAACTGATAGATGATAAAATCCTGTCGTTGATAAGGCATGAAGCAGCTGATGATGGCAGAAAGGCCCTGAAAATATTAAAAGAACACTATTCTGGAAAAAGTAAGCCAAGGATAATAAATCTGTACATGTCGCTGACCAAGCTGCACATGGCAGAGTGTTACTGACTACCTCATAAGAGCAGAGAACATCATTATGGCCCTGAGAGAAGCAGGCGAGGCCGTGAGTGATGGACTAACTGTTGCCATGATTCTAGGCGGGCTCCCGGAGTCCTTCAAGCCTCTAGCTGTCCATGTAATGCAAAACGAAGATAATGTTACTTTGGCAGACTTTCAAAGTAGACTGTGAGTCTATGAAGAGGCGGAGAAAATGAGCACGGCAGAGTCTACAGATAATGTGATGAAGACGTGAGACAAGGCAGAGGTCCCACTAAAACGCATGCTGGCTACAGAAAAGATGAAGATGCCAATGTGACATGCTATAAGTGTGGAATAAAAGGTCACAAGGCAAGAAAGTGTTACAGAAAAGTGTGGTGCAGTTACTGCAAAAATAATACACACCAATAATCCCTGTGTAAGAAAAACAAGACGGTGCCAGAAAGGTCGTAGAGAAAGAAAATGGTAACCAAGATCATCTCTTCAAGGCCAAGCACACAAAGAATGAGAGACCACCAGACAACGTAAAAATGAAAGACATCATGGTGGATGGAGGAGCAACATCCCACATTGTGAACGACATAGGAAAGTTTAAAAGCTTTGATGACACCTTCCAGCCGGAGACCCATTCAGTGGAGTTAGCTGACGGCACCAAATGCAGTGGAATAGCACAGCGAAGGGGAACAGCGATGATAGATCTACTAGACAGCGCTGGACGACAGCACAGAGCACAGCTACGGGATGCACTGTACATGCCTTCATACTCACATGACATCTTTTCAGTGGCAAGAGCAACAAACAGAGGAGCCACAATCATGTTCAAAAAAGGAGACAGTCGCATGGTTACCAAGGATGGTAGCAGGTTTGACATCCATGAGAGTGGAAATTTGTATTACTTGCCAACGGTTCAGTTGAATGTCGGTCAATGTAAACAATTTCATGACATGCAAACTTGGCATGAAATTTTGGGTCATTGTAATTATGAAGATGTGCAAAAGCTACAAGGTGTAGTGAAAGGCATGGAGATAAAAGGAAGTGCAGTCAGGCCAAATCGGTTGTGTGAAGAGTGCACACAGGGCAAATTCACCCAGACGAGAAACAGAGAGCCAGACACAAAGGCCAAGAAACCCTTAGAATTGGTTCACACTGATTTAGCCGGTCCCATGCCAACAACGAGCATAGAAGGGCACAAATATGCACAGTCTTTTACAGACGACTACTCAGGTACCATGTTGGTGTATTTCCTAAAGTCAAAAAGTGATGCTGTGCAGGCTACTGAAAAGTTCTTAGCAGACGTAGCACCTTACAGAGAAGTCAAGTGTATTCGTTCAGATAACGGCACTGAGTTTACAGGCCGAGACTTCCAGGCACTGTTAACCAAGAATAGGATTAGACATGAGACATCTGAACCCTATTCACCCCACCAAAATGGCACAGCAGAGAGAGGTTGGCGAACCCTCTACAACATGGGCAGAATGCTTACTGTTAGATAGTAAGTTACCAAATAAGCTATGGAACTATGCTGTGCAGACAGCAGCCTATGTGAGAAACAGTGTCGCCACAGTTACTTTGAAAAAGCAATCTGATTACTGATTGCTTTAAAAAGTAAATTAGTTACTTTACAGATTACTTGATTTTAAAAGTAACTAAGTTAGATTACAAGTTACTTTATTAGTTACATTCAGCAGCTGCCGACAACACCCCCGCAGCCTTTTGCCAACACTCACTTTATTGGAAGTGCATTTTTAACAGTAACGTCAACAATGTATCTCCTGACATTTTAAGTTGAACTTAAGTTGAACTGAAAAATATTTCCTGAAAAAAATACATGTTTTTATAAAAATAAAATAAAGACAGTCTTTCTTGACCTGACATATTTAACTGTTAACACTGTAATGACAAAACTTACTATTTATAATCTACATTGTTTATAAATGTAACTATTAAATTATTTTTCACATGTTTTATGAACATTGTTCCTGTTGTTCACAGCATTAGAGTAGCAAGGAGTGGTTTTACAAAACAAGCTAGCAGACGCACATCTCTCTCCTCCTCCATTGTTGTTTATGTTTGTGTCTGCGTAGCCTACACGTGAACTGTCCTCATGCTGAAAACGTGACTTCAATCCCAGAGACGCAAGAAGAAAGCAAATATATTTTTATTAAGGAAAATGACAAACATAGCGCACAGTGACGTGGATAAGTAACTTTAATCTGATTACCGGTTTGGAAATAGTAACGCGTTAGATTACTCGTTACTGAAAAAAGTGGTCAGATTGAATCAGTTGTGAGAAACAGGTGCTACAGCAGGCGCACAGAGAAAACACCCTACGAGCTGTTCACAGGCAAAGTACCAAACATATCCAAACTGCAAACATTTGGATCAATGTGTTTTGCTTACAAGCAAGAGAAAAGGAAGTTAGACTCTAGGTGTGAGCAAGGTATTTTTGTTGGCTATGATAAAAACAGCCCAGCTTACCTAGTGTACTATCCAGGCACAGAGAGTCCAAAAACACAGGTTGGTGAAGTTCACAACCAAAACAGCCAATGAAAAAGGAACACAAACATCTGAGTCACACATAGGATATGGTGATAGGGATGTACATCAAAAGGCCAATAACAGTGAAGAAAATGTTGTTGATGACAAAATGCAAAATGTACCAGGTCAAGAAATGCAGAGTGGTGTTTCTGGGACTTTACCTGAACAGACTAAGAGCACACAGCCAGGTAGAGTCACTGATACTGTAAACAGAAGAATCAGAAAGAAACCAGCTTACCTACAGGAGTTTGAGACTGAGGATACCGTGGACAAACTGCAAACATGCGTGGACTCTTGTTATAGAGCAGTATGTGACATTCCTCAAACTTACCAGGACGGCAAGCAGTGGGGGGCTGATGGGTCTACGCACTAAAGTTAACGGTAAATAAATATGCCAAGAGGCTGAAGATAATTCGAGTTTGTTCTACTTATCCTCCATACGCAGTAGAATGACTGTGCGCTGTAGTAAATAACCCCTTAACAGAACACAACAATAAAATGCATGTATTCAACACAACCTAATTAATATAATTTGTAAAAATAGAAATTACATCAGCGTGTCAATGAGAAATAGGTCATAATCTTTGTGACTTTATAACTTTAAAAAAAGCAGGTTTGTCATTAACATTTTGCATTGACATTAAAATGTGGATTTATAAAGGTAGATGGTACTAATTAATCTAAAAATCTTGATTTGTATTATTGTAACCAAAACACAACTTTGGAGCCAAAATTCCCAAAATTTGGGAGCCAGTAGCCTGAATAGTTACTTATGCTTTCCAGAATTTACTGATGTAAATGTAGGCTGTTTATAAGCATTAGGAGAGTCTGCAATAAGAACAGTGGAACACTCTGTGGGGTCTCACAAATGTTTTAATGACATACTAGTTTTAGGCAGCAGCACATGGTTTATGGAATGATACACATTATGTTGAGTAGTCCAAATTTCCCACTGCTCCCAAAGTAACACGGTGACGTGTACTACTGTGTGAGCAGCGGCAGCAGCATCGAGGATGTGTGGTACTGCTATCAACATCGAGAGAGACACGCGGTAATGGATGGAGAACCTTTCTTTGTGTAATTTCTTCTACAAGCTATGGACACAGGAGCTCCACTATGTTTTTATTGCTGTCAGCGGTGATCCTGAGTACAGTTACAGAAGGTATGCTGAATGTTTTTTTAAAACACCGTATCCTCTATATATTAATATAGTGTGTGTGTGTATATATATATATTAATATACACATATATATATTGTAATATAGTATATGTAAATAATGTAGCCTACATAGTCGAACAAGCAAGGTCAACTGAATTAAAAGCTGTTACCACCACCTGGCGCAATGGCTGCCGAACCAAAGAATGCGCAAAGGAATGAATTGCACTAAGAAACTCACATAAAGGTAGATAAATAAAGAGCAGCAGAGCACAGGGTAGTGTTTGTGAGGTGATGAGGAGTTTTGGTGTCCGTCTAGAGAACAACAGTTCCTTTATGTTCGTTATATTTCCAACACAGATCCGTGTTAAAAAGACCTCGGCTGCTTGAAACAGGTCTTTCATGGTTTCACTGCACAGCTGCACCATCTGTTCATTGTTTATTTAAGACTACCTGGACTGGTCAGAACATAACGGTGTTTATAACAACTTGAAAACAACATAACGGTGTTTATAACAACTTGGAGCAATAGAAGCAAATAATAATCCGTAAAGATAAACTGTTTTGAAGATTTCGATCAGGAGGCGGAGGAGATGAGGAGGTTCAAATTAGAGAAATGAGAAAACCTAGAAGGCAGACTAAACTTTGGGTCATTACACAGGATGAGTGACCTCTCCCATCTTAGTTATTAGTTTTTTTCCCCCTATCTATACCAGAAAACTAATTATTACAGGTTTATGATATGCATGAGTATACCGGTCTATATGCAAAAAAACCCAAAACGAATGCAAATGAAAAACAAAGAACTTATTTCTTCCACTGCCTGAGGTCTTTCAGGGCAAGTAGACAAATTCTTCTTTTGTTTTTTTGATGTTTACTTTTGTGATTATGAGTGTCCTGTAGTATTCTTATGCAAAATGGTACAAATGTTTGTCCACAACAAAAAAAAATTCAAAAACTGCTCCACCGAATGAAAATCGAAGGATCTTGTGGGCCAACTTCTTGAGACACTCTATGAATCAGACTAATCTGGGCTGACTCGCTACATTTCCTCCGGCTCCAAACAGCTCCTGAATAGTGAATACAAACTTTGTTCCAAAATTCGATTAATTCAATTCAATTCAATTCAATTCAATTTTATTTGTATAGCGCCAATTCATAACAGAAGTTATCTCAGGACACTTTTCAAATAGAGCAGGTCTAGACCGAACTCTTTAAAACATTAATTACAGAGACCCAACAGTACCACCATGAGCAAGCACTTGGCGACAAGGGCAAGGAAAAACTGCCTGTTAAAAGGCAGAAACCTAGGACAGGTCCTCCAGCTCTAGGTGGGTGGTCGTCTGTCTCGACCAGTTGGGGTGAGAGAGAGAGAGAGAGAGAGAGAGAGAGAAAGACAGACAGGTGCACAGCAACAACAGTATTGGCAATGGCAATCTAGCAGGACCATGGCAGGAGGCTCCACCAGGATCGACAAGAACCTGCGAGACGAGAAAGCCCAAGAACTCCGGGGAAGAAGTGAAGTTAGTAACATGCATTAATGGAACATGAATGAGTGCAGAAAGAGAGGAAGGGAGGAGCTCAGTGCACCAAGGGAAATCCCCCGATAGTCTAGGCCTATAGCAGCATAACTAAGGGATGGTTCAGGACTCACGTCATCCAGCCCTAACTATAAGCTTTATCAAAGAGGAATGTCTTAAGCCTACTCTTGAATGTGGTGAGGGTGTCTGCCTCCCGAACCACAACTGGAAGCTGGTTCCACAGGAGAGGAGCTTGGTAACTGAAGGCTCTGGCTCCTGTTCTACTTTTAGAGACTATAGGAACCACAAGTAGACCAGCATTCAGAGAACGTAGTGTTCTAGTGGGGTAATAGGGTACTATGAGCTCTTTAAGATATGAAGGGGCCTGACACTCCTTTGTTCACCACTCAGTCTTAAAATTAGATATGGAGCTTAATCCCAGTTCAAATGCACGTAATGCATGTATCTTTGTCTCTTTTACTAATGTATGTCTTTTTCTTTGATGTTGCAAATGAAGCTTATCACAGTCACTTTATCCTCCACAAACACAAGGTAAACGGTATAAAAATTCTCATTTCAGATTATTATTAATAATAATTATATTAATAATTTATTATACTAATGTTTGCTTGTGTTATATGATTGGTTGGAAGGTGGTGCATTGTGTTGCAGGACAAGTTGAGCCAGGCTCAGCTTCTCTCTGTGCCGACCCAGTGCTCTTATTACAATGAAAACACATCTATCAGGCATTAACATTAAGCCAGCTAATTCTTTCTTTATTGATATTTTTGACAAGACAATAGATCATCACAGATGTTATAATACCCGATATTGTTAAAATTCAAATTTTCACAGTCCCCTCTTTTTTTAAACTGAAAATGCCTAACAAACAAAACAAAGTGGCATATAACAGACTTAAGTCCACAAATAGACAATTCTTTCTGAAATTAACCCAGTCTGCATACTCAATACAACCGTGGACAACACAATTCAAACATTCAGAAAAGGCAAAAAATCCATAACAATAATAACAATAATAGTTGTCAGGTTTTCATGATGAAAAGCTCAGGATGAAAACATGTTTATAATGTAGTGCAGAAATAAACACGATGAATCAATCAGGATGTTTAGATTTTTTACTTGTGTTCAAAAGCAGGGTACACAAAGTTCACAATCCCCTCCACAGAGATCGCAGGCTGAAAATAACATACAAATTACAGGTGCAGCAGATTCCCAGCAGCCAGGGAGGTTTCTCCAATACTCGGACACTGTTTCCCCACCTAAACCCCTATACTTCCTCTACCCACTCACCCCTACCGTCTTGACTACATTCTTGTCTGCACTCCATGGAAACAGAAATAAACTTCAATGAGAGAGTGCTTCCTGTATTTATTATTTTTTGTAACAATTTAACTAGGACTGTGTTAAATGTAACATTTGTAGATTTCACTTTAGTGAGAGGGATGTTTTTCCAGCTCCCTCACTATAGTAATAAAAGAAAACAACTGCAAAAAAAAACAAATAAGTGAAAATAAAAGGTGCCTTGAGCATAGTTACAGTTACATCTAACAGTTCATTAATCAGATATTCCCTCTATCAAGGCCAGAAAGGAGCTCCAGAATGGTTCATAAATATCTTCTCTGTATGTAACTCCATTCATTCCTTTAAACATCATGAGCTAGACTGTTTCCAGTGACTCAGCGTTATTCTATATCCTGTAGTAAAGTTGTAAATTGCAATCCCCTCTCATCACCTGTTTAAGGCGTGTAGGAGAAACTATGGTGGCTTGCCAAAAATGCAGAAGACTACCAGGGCGCCCAAAACAGTAGATGTTCAAAACTAACACAAAAGTTACTTTAGCCTACTTGCTAACTAATTACTTTTATATGGAGTAGTTGGTGAAGTAATTTTTGAGATAAGTAACCGTAACTAATTTTTCAGTAACTTGCCCAACACTGCTATAAATTTATGAAAACATACCATATTCTACAAATAGATCCTCCTTAATGTTACACTCTGGACCTTCAACTGTATAGAAACAAAGTATTAGGTCCTTTCTCACATCTTCCAGTGTGAATGCTTTCCATCTATGTATGTTTTTACTTGTGTTCGTGCCTTCTGAGCTGTGATTTTCTGACCCTTACAGCTCTCCGGGTGACTGGAGGAAACATGGCCGTGATCCAAGGAGGGAACGTTGTCTTACCCTGCAAACTCACTGACACCACCGAGGACCTCAATCAGATTTCATGGCAGCGGAAGACCAAAGCAAAACCTCTGAATGAAAATTTCTTTACCATCGTACAACAAGGTGGACCAAAGTTTGTCAATGGACATGATCTTCGATTTAAATTTGTTGGGAGCATGAGTGACCTCAATGGATCTCTCCAGCTATCCAATGTCACTTTGTTTGATGAAGGCATCTACACGTGTATCTTCACTTTGTTCCCCAGCGGAAACCACATCACAGAGATACCTCTAAACATTCTTGGTATAATGCATTGAATTTAAACTATTGTACGAGAGAGAGTCTTGTTTCACCTTCTTGCTTGCATGTTGACTTTTTTATGTACCTTGACTCTCTTAGTGCCTCCGGTCTCAAGCCTGAAGGATAATCATCCTGCTTTGGGTAAAGAGGAGGTTTCCCTCGGTACCTGCACAGCTGCTGCTTCCAAACCTCCTGCACAGGTGAAGTGGGTAATTGGTCCTCTGGAAGGAAAAGTGAATGCAATAACCAGCTCCACCAAGCATGACAACGATACGACCACCACAGTCAGCTCGCTGTTGGGAGTACCAACCAGAGAAATCAACCAGCGTTTGGTCCATTGTGTCATCACCAGTGCAGCCCTGTCGAAAGAAGAAACCCTGCCCTTCACCATTCAGGTCTACTGTGCGTACACTAATATTTACATACATCATTAAATTACCTAGCTCACACCTACAGTAAATAATGTGCCTTTTGAGGGGAACATTTGTTTTTATAGCCTGAAGAGATGATGATTGTGTTATTTATTATTTATTTTCATTCAGTGACTCTCTCTGCATGTTTGGCTCTTATGGTGCTATCCATTTGTCTCGTAAACCCCCAGCCAGAGTTGGAAAGTGTAAATCTCACAGCTATCTCGCAACATTTCACTGAGACACACCCCCATTTGGTCATAATTTCAGCCTCAGAGTACACCGAGCTAAACGAGGACGAATGTACGGCCCGCAAAAAACAAAGATGGCAGCGCCCATATTGAGATGTATTTTCTTTGTATTTGTACTACGTTGGTCGTTTTAATGTCGATTTTAAATGCTCCTACACACTTGTTTACATTGCTGCTTTAGTCCGGTCACCAATTTATGCATTGCACAGTGTTGCTGTGCGTGCAATACAATGTAAAGTTTTGTTTTCGAGCTGGTTTGCTAAATAGGCTAATGTAGCTAACAGTAACACTAGCCTGCCACTGCCCCTGGTGGCCCCTGGTGGCACCTGGTGGTACCTGGGGGCACCTGGGGGCCCCTGGTGGCTCGAGAAAAAACGCCACAGCACTTGTTGAAATTGAAATAGGCAAAAATGGCAAAATATTATTGAAATGTAAGACTTACAATAACGGAATTACTTGAAATGTTAGTGTTTCTGTAGAAAAACATATTATTTCACATTGAGCTTGTTTAGATGAGCCACAAGCAATAACAACACAGCTGCTGCACTTCTTTCTGACTCGTAATGCCCAAAGACAACTGGAACGCTATAAGTGGTACAAGCCAGGCAATTACGTCACGTTCTCGCGGCAGAGCAACTCGGGCGGGGGATTTACGAGACAAATGGATAGTACCATTAATGTTAATTTGACCTCATGGACAGATTGCAGTAACCACATGTGGCTCACAGTAAAATAAGCGAGACCCCGACTGAGGCGTTGCTGCAATTGCAGCCGAGACACGTGGCTTGCGTTAGCATTGTGGATGCTGTAACCTGTTATGCTAAAATATGTTCCGCGATGCTCACGCATGCTGTGTGGACTTGGTTTAAGAGTTTGGTGAATTCAACTTGGAACACAGAAATAAAAGTGACATTTAGGATAGGAGTTGGAATACTGTATGTTGCATGAAGTCCAGTCTTTTAATGTCAGTCAAATATTTATCTGGTCGAATATTTGTGTTTTAGAGTCAGTGCAGGCGTAACTCTTAGACGTGATGTTACGCTGAAATTATGCTACTTATATTACAAAACCAAGTTCCATTTGTGCCAACTGCTTTGTGTAATATAATGTCTTTCTTCTGTTGTCTACAAGGCTACTTAACAGCTTTAGTTGTGGATCTTGTTTGTTAATGGGGATTGTGACATTATCCCTGCTGTTGTGTTACTCTCCATTACTGTTGCTTCATGTTCACAAACAGGCTGTGAAATGGCAAGAAAGAGTCAAGAGTCAAAACAAAGTTGAGAAAACTAGAATAAAGACAAAGGGCATGGTCACACCAGAAAGAGACAGAGCCAAATACCTTCAGACCGCTAACAACACAGCCGATTTAACCCACAGAAGCAGACGTTCCCACAGGGCTTCTTTTGGTATTTTGTCTAGAGCCAATTACTGTTCTTGAGTGTAGATACAGATGTGTTTCTCACAAAGGACAATCTTGCATTGTAATATTTTAGAATGATTGTCATAATTCATAATTTTAGTTAATTTGACTCTTTTTGCATGCTCAAGGGATCACGCTTAAATGCGAGAACTATAAAGTATGCCTTTTGAGTTTCAATAATTTTGTCAGATGGGAGCAAAAATAATGACGCCTCATTCTAAGCAAACAAAACCACAATTCCTATAATCAGATGATTATACACATGATTATTATATATACATGTCCAAAAGTCCTAAAATGAGGTGTTTTAGAAAGCCCGATAATGTTATATCAATATAGATGGGATTGGATCCAAATTTAGAGGTTCAGTAATATTCTGATGTATTTTTAGCATTTTCAGCCCTTTCTCTCTCCCTTTGTCTCACAGTCGCACCCATGGAAGTGACCATTCGTGAACGAACCAAAGACACATTTGAATGTGTGACTGAAGCCAATCCAAATGCAGACATTACCTGGAGCAGGTACAGTAGTTTGAATGAACCGGTTTCAGTGGAAACATTCTTAATCAAACAATATTATGTTTGTCTTTTACCTTGAAGCATTGTTTGGTTTGTCATTCTTGGTTAAATTATTGTCGTTAGCCAAATTAACTTAAGTTAACTGCACACTTTCCTGCAGATGTAGCAACGGTTATATACCGTTTGTAAACCACCCCCATCCTCTTTCCTACACTCAAAAGAACACACGTACTTCTTCCCTGTAAAACCTGTGCTCTTAGTATGTTTGCTGATTCAACATATCTCTATCAACCTGAAATCTCCCTGCCTACACCATCGTCTATCCTGTCTAACCATTTGTGTTTATTTGTCTCTAGCTATCTAGAATTATCTGCACAGGTGCTGATGTGTGACTTTCCCCCTCCTCTATGTCACTGTTGGCTTGTTATCGTTGTCATTGTTTCTGTTGTTATGGTTGTGGATCCTGTCACTGCCATTTGCTGTCGTTGTAATATGTGCTACGTCCCTACTTTTTATGAAAATGCAAAGGAAAATAAAAGTATAGAAGAAAAGAATAAATGACAGGACATTTGGGATTGAAAACACACTGTGGATCAATACTTTGGCTTAGGGGCAGAGCCAGTCGTCCAGTGATCAGAGGATTGGTGATTCGATCCAGTCTGCATGTCGAAATGTCTTTGGGCAAGATATTAAACCCCGAATGGCTCCCAAAAGTTGTGCCAAAATGTACGTAAGTTTAAGTGCAGAGTAAAAACTCAGATTCTCTCTTTGAAAGGGTTCAGCTTTATTGGAGGGTCTAGTATCCTGTGCTTCTTAAAATGACATCTTGCTTGTATAACGTGGGGTAATAAGCTGTCTCTATGTTGACTCACTGAAGCCATAAATCTCCACTAGTGCAAACTCCTGGTCTCATAAATAAAGCTGAGCATCATGTCCTGGTAAAACAAAGGGGTTGTTTTCTCAGCTACTGTTCCTATGGTCAAGGGTGAACTTTGAACCCCAGTGGATGTATCGGAAGAAATAGAATATAATGTTCATAGGTATGTTTTCATTGGGGTATAATCGCCGGAAAATTAGAATCGAATCGTGTTTTCGTAACCTTTTAGAGTGAGCCGTTTTCATCTACGGAGGGAGTTACAATCTGATTGGCCACTTCCTGGATCTAACAGCTCTAATTTAAACTAGGGTGAGTGCAACAGGGTTACTGACATTTATCAGTTGTGTGGCAACAAGTACAGCTATCACAGGAAACAGAGAACTGAGTCAGAAAAACAGCCTTTGAAATTAATTCAACTTTTAACACAACTCTCTACAGTTTGCAATATTTTCAGGCCCACCTCCATTAAACCTTATTTAGCCGTACATTTCAATGCTTGGCCTTATTCGCCTGTTTCAGATCAGACAACTCGTGGCCTCAGTCTGCTGTCAGAATGGAGGATGCAACGCTACAGTTTCTGAGCATGACCTCTAACCTGAACGGCCTCTACCAGTGTGAAGCATCTAACACTTATGGATCAAAACGTGGTCAGCTCTATGTGCATGTGACTTCAGGTGAGATCAGGTTTAATTTAGCTGTGAGTTTTTGTCCACTGTGTTTTTTGCATTTGTTTCTCTTCTATGTTTTTGGATTTGGGCCAGTTTTTTTATTTTTTATATTTTATTTTAACTTTTTAAACTTTTACAAAAAATAGAAAAAACCTACATACAAGATGGGCATACAGCACCTGACATTGTTACATGAAGTAATTGAAGTAATAAAAGAAAGACAGAGGCTATATGAGAATATATACAATTACCAACAACAATTCCTGTCTCATGATACCGTCAGGAGTATGAATAGAAAACAAAACAAAACAAACACACACTCACAAAAAAAAAAAAAACAAGCCCAGAGAGGAGGATCAAAACCTTAATCAGTACAGAAAAAATACAAACAAAAGCATACAAATACATAGCAGCCTGTTTCATATGTTGGTCATTTAGGTCTCATCAAGGAAAGCCAAAAATGGCTTCCACGCTGTCTCATAATAGTTTGGTGCATTCCCTCTGCTAAGGCAAATCTGTTCCATCCTAGAAACACACATGGGAGACACTGATTCATGTATGACTTTAAATTGAATTAACCGATATCTAGAGTTTACAGAACACTTATGTATACCGGACAGCCCCTCCTCCCATAATTATCTGCCCAGACAAATGACAGGACGGCTGAATACAGTTGTTAAAAAAAAGATAATGACAAATAAATAGGGAGGTTTTGAAAAAGATACAAAAACCTTGGAAGTGCAACCATTTTAACAGCATTGATGCGGCCGATCATTGACAAAGGGAGCAACTTCCAGTTCCTAATATTAGCTTTTAGTTTATCCATCATATCCAAAAAATTAAAAAACCATCTGGAACGGATGTTTTTCCAGAGGGGAAGGCTTGAATAGCATTCAAAAGGTCTGTTTTAGAAATTGGGGCCTCCATGTCATCTCACTATCTAATTGGGGAACATTTAAATTGGCAAAAAAGTTACAGAAATCTGCTTCAGTGGCCTTTACTTTACTAGAATACAGTTCCTTATAGAAGTCCCTGAAACAAGCATTTATCTCTCTGGGATTGTTTAGGAGTCTGCCTGATTTGGACTTTATCCTGTGAATGGCCTGTTTAGCCCTTTCACCTCTAAGTTGGCTAGCTAACAGTTTCTCCGGTTTATCTCCATTTTCAAAATGTTGAATTTTCAATAGAAGACTACCAACACGTTTGTTAAGAATGGTATTGTATTCATATTTTAATTTCAAGATCTTATTGTAATCAGCGGGTGAGAGGGAAAATCTATAGGTCTCTTCCAGTACTGGAAACATTTTTTCAATGTCCTCGACAGCTGTTAAGTTAAGTTAAGAGACCTCTCCGTTATCATTTGTAACAAGAAATTCGGCTATACGTGCATTCATATGCTCAATAAAAGACTGGTCTTCAAGAAGAGGTGCTGCAGTCGCCATATTTCAACCATATTCCTTGTTTTAATTAAATCACTCAGAATTATTAAGAGGTTATTCCAGGAGGTAGTTTTGTAGAAAGTATATCTAGGACTGGGTCAAGATAACAATTAAAGTCACCTCCAATAATAACATTAGAGGTAGAGGGCGGTATCAAATCAAATGCTTTACGGAAGAAATCGGGATTGTCAATATTTGGACCGTAGATGTTAAGCAGCGTTATTGGAAGGGAGTTTATGTGCCCAGATATCATCAAATACCTGCCATATGGGTCTGCTGTCATACAATCAAGGCAAAATGGTATATTTTTTCCGAAAGGAATAGCAACCCCCCTAGACTTGCGGGTAAAAGGGGCTTGATAGACTTGGGAGATCCAATTTGCTCTCAACCTGCGCTACTCATTTACACTAATGTGCGTTTCCGGAAGGAAAATTACGTCTGGTTTTAATGACTTGATTAATAATTTAAAAAAAAGAATTGATTGATTCTGATTCTGATTCTGATTGAGATGCGAGAAGACTCAACCCCTTTTAACCACATGACCCAACCCCTTTACATTCCATGAGACCAATGTAAATTTATCATTTATACTGCTATGTGTTATACTATCGAATACTGACATTATCTCTGGAATAAAAGCAATCTGGTATCCTCTCAAAAGTGCACAAAACACAATAAAACAAGACACATAAAGAACTTACATTGTAATCTGAGGTAACACACTCAAACAAACCCATGAGCCAGAACAACCCCTACCCGACCACAGGCACTTCCCCAAATGAAGCACAGACATCCCTTCATGCCCGGGACCGCTACACACACGACTGAAACTCGCTTTCAAACCTTTAACCTCGCTGTTAAAGCTGTGATAGCTAACTTAGCCCAGCTCCTCTGCCTAGCATACCTGACCGAAGTCAGAGAAATCAAATTGACAGTCTCTCAAAATGTTGAACACTGTTCTCTAAATGAGAAAAGCAGCATCAAAATAGCGCTATTAGCCCTTTATGTACTTATACACCAAGGGACCACAACAGTCTCAAGATCAGTTCTTTAAGTCAGTGTTCATAAAAGTCATTGCCTCACTCAGTGTGCTGAAAACCTCTTCCACCGACTCTACCTTCTCCAATAGTTCCCTTTGAGAGCTTTGCACCACCTGAAGTGTCTGCTCTAATTTATCAAACCAGCCGTTGATGTGGTCAAGGATCTTGTCGGAAATTTTCTCCCAGATTAACGGCAGATGCTCCGCGTCGCTGTCGCTAGAGTCATGACCTGGCGGGCTACCGCTAGCACTGTTAGCATTAGTGTTAGCGGAAGCTGAGGATGGTCGACGTTTTTGGACGACTACTTCAGCATTTCGTTGCATAAACTTAACTGGTTAAGCCCTTCGTGTATAAAGTTTTTCCCGAGGCTGATAAAATTAAGTACCTAGTAAGACTGTCAAAATAAAAATGTTAAATATTGGCAAGGAGGAGCCCCTGAAAGCACGTCTACTCCCTGCGCTGCTCACTAGCGCCCCCCAGATTTGGGCCTGTTTTGAATGTCGGTTGATTCTGTTGTCATTTTTTGTGTCTTTTAATTTAAAAAGAAAAAAAAGAGATTGAATGGATTTCTAACTGAAAGGACAACCTAGGACACACTCAGAACACACAAGCAGATGATTCCATTTGGTATCTGCCAAGCAGCTGAAAGGAGTGGCTGCTTAGCCCTTTGACACCACACCCCAGACAAATGGAAGAAAATTTCTGAGTAAATGTCTACTGAGTATATATATATATGGGTCATGATAATTTCATCCCTCAGTTGTGTTTGGGATTCAGGACCTGCCAGGACAAGAAAGCAAAAACTGTTTAGCAAGGGTTTAGTTTGTGTTTGAACTCAATATTAGTCAGCTAAATGTAATTTTTAAAACAAAACTAGATGTTTAAAACATCAGTGTATGTTGGCACAACATTTCACCATATAGACTGAAAACACAAACATGGGTAACTCAGAGCTGCCAACTCTCACGCTTTCGCCGTGTGACACGCGCTTTTGCCTGTTTTCACACGCACTCACGCTACACATCCAATTTCTCACGCAAAACAATCTGATCTTGGGCCGTTTCGGTCCCCTGCAGTTTGTACCGTCCAAAAACAATGTTACGCTATAGTAAACAGAGACTCGTCAAGCACTAGGATCAAGCGGAATCGGCCTCTCAAGCTGAAGCCTGTTACCCTTAGTTTAGACCGCCCACAAGCTCCTCGATTGGCTCTGCTGTTTCTTGTGTGATTGGCCGTCCCTGCTGTCACTCCATCTTGCTTGCACACCGGTCTTCTAGTTGCCCAGGTAATATCAGAGGTTTCATTTACATTCATGTTTGAGTCGGTGTCCATGTGCGTATGTGCGTGCGTGCGTGTGTCCAGAATGTTTTTTCTATGTTTACATTTACATGCTTTATTGCTACATGCTTTACAAGCAGTCAAACCAAAAAAGGGAACAGTAAACGTAAAAGTAGCAATAGAAAACTAGAAGAACTACTATTGTGTACTATTGAGCCAGTTATCTCAGTCGGTAGAGCTGGCGAACCATATATGGAGTTGCTGCAGCGGCGTGGGTTTGAATCCGACCTGCTGCCCTTTGCTGCATGTCATCCCCTCTCTCTCCACCCACCATCACTGTCTCCCTACAGCTGTCTCTATAAAAAGGCCCAAAACATAACTTAAAAAAAAATACTTGTCCCCCCCACCTCTGAAATCAAAATTTCATCCTTGATCTGAGCTGAGACTAGGTATGTATCTTTAACTTTAAATCTTGATATAAATTCTTTGTTTGTGCGTGTTAACATGATTTAGTGTGGTGAAAGCTGTCATAACAAGCAGCAGGAGAGCACATTGTTAACCTGGTGGTATACTGCATGCTCAAAATATCAGCTCATTGCATTTTTTATTTACTCACAGTTTAATACCATTCTAATCAAAATATCAATCAACCGACAGGTACCTAGGTCCAATCTTAAACACTGGTCTATGAATAAGGCTTTATTGTTATACAGGCAATCATTTAGGCAAAACAATAGTTTTCTGGTTGAATGTTCAGCTCAAGTCTAGAAGGCCCTACGAGTCATGATGCCGAACATGAATCAGAATAAGTTCAGGTATTGCACATCTTTAACAGACCACCCAAAAATCCACCAGAATGCAGGAAATCACATCTACTTAATCCAAAATTTCCTGGGGGTGGACCTTCAGCTATGTCTGCTTCTCAGAATATAACCAATATTGTCCATCTTCAGTAGCCTGCCTCTATCAACGGCTTTGGGCCTCCCCACAAACCACCAGAATGCAGGGTACAACATGGGTACAACATCAAATGAATTCCAATTCTCTGATATCTGAGCCACCAACTTGTGTGGCTGTGTGCGCGGCATTATTTTGGTCACCCCCAACAAAATCTCACTCCAAGGTTTTTGAAAAGTTGGCAGCTATGGTAACTGCTTTCATTGGAAAACAATGTCAAGAGGCCTTTTTTCATAGCAGACATTTTGGGCATGCCATGGCAGAAAAAGCTCATAACCATGAAACCAACTTAAATAAATTTAGATGAGCTGTTTGACTGACTCTCTGTGCTCTCAGTGCTGCAGCACTAGTTGGTGTTGGCTGCACAGACCAGTCTGCATGTTCTGCATCTGAGGAAGTTAAAAACCAGCGGGTTGACTTTATTTTTGATGAAATATCCCCACAACTACTTTTTCAAAGGAGTACCAGCTCAATGATGGATTGATACCGTCTGTCCGCGACTCGACTTCATTCTTGGAAGCTGTAAGTTTTTCCCTGTTTTATGTTGCTTTACTGTTTCTTGTGTAGGTTCACCTGTCGGACTTGGCATTAACATGCTGTCGGACTTTATGTTGTACTCTCGAGGGAGAGTCAGAAACTGTGGTAACACCTCTTTTGAAGCCAACAAAATACCGGGAGTAAGTTAGTACATTGTGTGCCGGTGATTGATTTTCATGTTGCTTTTTGTATAACTTTATACTGACATGCTAACATAAGCTCAGCTAGTGCTAACGTTCGCTCAGCTTGCATTTAAAGTTAGTGAATAAATTACCTGTTATCATTATAGCACTGTGTGTACCTGTTGCCATTAACTACACGTTGGTAACCTCAAACTGTTTCCTGCATACAGAACAACACATCACTACAGTTAGCTGCAACAGGGGACCTGCTTTATTTTTTTATTTTATAAATTAGGAATACTTTGAGTTACAATGCGCTCTTACAGCCTTTAGTAGTTAGTTGTACTTATACTGTATTATATTATACTGTATTATATACTCTTATATGTCTTAGAAGTAACACTGAATCTGCCGTTTTACAGGTCATCTAAGTGACACGAATGAAGCTCACGTGTCCCCCATCAGAGGAGGAAGCTTGTCATGCCTGTTAAGTGACAGCCTAAAGACTAGACATGCAGCATCAGGAAAGTCTGGGTACCCACAGGAAGAACACTGACCGCAGAGCTCCATCAGCAGCTGACGCTTCAATATACAAGAAAGCCTTTACCTCGATGGAGGACATGATCTGCACAGTTTACTTAAAAGTTATGGCTTTGCTACTTGCATCATACGCACAATTTATATTTCTGTGTAGCTGGAATTTAAATGTAACATGAATCAAATGTTTTATTTTTAAGGAACGTTTTGGTGGTTTTACATAAATAACGTCAAATGTAATCTTTGAAAATGAAAACGTGAAAGAGTTTTGCTATTAATCCTGTAGTAAATAATGACTGTAAGCAACACAACACATTTGTTTCTTTATTATGATGTTGACCGATAATATAAATTATGCAATATTCAGTATAATTTTACAGTATTTTGAAAGGGGTTCAAACAGACATTCTGCAGCTTTAACACATTTTGATGCATACATTTGGTTGTAATTGTCTGACAAATAAAAAGGTTTCAAGTTACTTACTATGAAACATGGATTCAGTACAGTACATGAACAGTTGGTTACTGAGCAGTTTTTCAACTACATAAGCAAGTTCACTAACAAAAACCACGGCAATAAATGTATGGAATAAAATAAGTTTATTGTACATAATGAACAAATGTGAACCGATGTGTTATACTGTGGGGGGATGAATGGATCAGGAAATGGTCGAGGGATGGGGGGAATGGAAGGATGAAGTGATGAAGGAATGGAGGGGTAAGGGTCGAGGGATGGGGGAAGGGGTCGAGGGTTGAGAGATGAAGAGGTATGGGAAATAGGGGTGAGGGTTAAAGGAAGGAAGGAAAATGGGTTTGTGGGTACGTGGATGAATGGATGGAGGAGTTTAGTGAGACGTTGGGAGGGAACCGTGTGGGTGATGAGACCGTGAGTGGGGGAGCCGTCTCTTTTAATCTCTTCGAGAGCCCCGGTGGTTCCTGTATTTGGATAAGAGAGAGGGAGATAAAAAGAAAAGGTTTGGGAGGGAGAGATGTAGAAAATGAGTCAAGGAGGGAGTGAACGGATAAGGTGTGCTTCAGTATGTTTTAAGCCGAGATGAGATGAGTGCAAGGCGTGGTCTTTGTTCCCGAACCTAGTTATAAAACTTACTTCATCAGCAACATGATTATTCATTCATTTTTCAATGAACAAATATTTGATATGTGCATAATGAAGATGAGAAATGTGAATAGTCTCAATTAGACCCCATCTTGACGTCATAGTCGTTGAAGAGGTTAGTGAAGCTGTCATTAGTCCCCTAAAACCCCCTGATGGAGTCCACACACTGGTTGTGGTGGTGATGAAGGAATGAAGAAAATTCTGAAGATATGGATATGATGAGGAGTAGACTTCTGATGAGCTCAGCCTGGCACTGGATACGAGGAACTCGAGGTGAAAGGGGTGGAGGAGTGTCGCAATGATTTTGCACTGAAATTACAGCTGAAAGCAGCAGAGAGGAGAACAGATTCAAAGTGTGACAGCAGCTACATGATTGGCTGGAGGAGACTGTGGCTAAATCTGATTGGATTAACAGAAAGCGTAAATGCCGTGATTAGAAAGGAGAGCAAGAGAATGAATGAGGCATAATGAGAAGGTCTTCCCGATTGAACTTAAGCTGAGCTGCATTAGATCAGTAATTCTTTCAGTTATGTTGACATGTTGTACAGGATAAAGTATTCCAGGCAATACGGTAAGTCTCCATGGTCGCAGTAAACTAATGTATACAAAGAGAATATAAGATAGAGGCTACAGTAATCATTATACTATACTGTGATTATTTTGGTATGTTTACTGGTTCTTTCTAAACTAGAAACAATTGCTTGATTACAGTTTCACATCGTCTGATTCATATCATACTTTCCATCCCTGCATCCGGGTAATTACTGTTTACATATATATGTATATAACATGCATATGCTACCACATTACCGCTTTAGCTCTTCACAACAAATTATTTTTACTTCACTTGGCTGTGTAGACTGTAGGTCACTTCTCACTACTGTACTTGTTAAGAAAAAGGGTGTTGGTTTTGATAGTTAAGGTATAAATACTAATTTAACATTATGTAATAGAGGGATATAAATAACATTAGTGGTACTTACCGGAGGAAATTGTCATGGAAAGCTGTAATCTTGATTGTTGATGTTGTTCATTTGTCTGTGATTCCAAACAAAGCAGTTATTGATTTAATATTTGCACTAGAAGTGCAGCTAAACTAGGTTACAGTGATTTTACTGCCTGCTAAAACACCGGCAACACTGAGGCGGAAGACGGAAGCTGCACCAGCTCATCGGAGCTGACCAATGAGAGCCTTAAAGAGACAGAAGCTGAAACAGAGCGTTTCAAACAGAGGCTGAAAAAAGGGGCTGCAGCTATAGGCAGTATGAGAAAAAATATGTGTTAGAACATGTAAACCTGTTCTAATAGACACACAAAATAAAATTATTAACCTGAAAATCAGTATGTCTCCTTTAAAATATTCATATTGTAATTTGTATTGAATTATTAGTAGTTATTAAGTTATTAAGTGAATAAAATATTAAAATGTTGTTGCACATCAACTTATTAATGGATGGTCAAGTGTTTGTCAGCATTTAAAGAATATATTAAGTAAAAGTCTTGCTCCATCATCCACCATCACCTGAATTATGCTGACTGGCAGCTGTCACCAAGTTGGACAAACTCTAAAACTCTACAAAGCGGGCTCCCGGTTAGCTCAGTCGGTAGAGCTGACGACCCATATACGGAGTTGCTTCACTGGGTTCGAATCCGACCTGAGGCCCTTTGCTGCGTGTCATCCCCTGTCTCTACCCACCTTTCCTGTCAATCTTCAGCTGTCTATCCAATAAAGGCATTAAAAGGCCAAAAAATAACTTAAACATCTCTACAAAGCTGGACGAGCACTCAATTATCATTGAATCACTGATCACAAAGCCTGTTGCTTTTTTTAAGGTGGTGTTCATTGCAGGGCTGTTTCAGACAAAATTTGATTTAGCTAGATGTATAAACCACCAGTGTGTATCAGTATTTTCTGTTCCTGTATTCTTCTTTTTTGTGTCCTGTCTCCCTACAGGGTCCTGCACTGCTGCTTGGACCTTATTTGGTATTTTGCTTTTCCTGAATGTTGCTGCTGCAGTGTGGTATCTGTATAAATCCGGGAAATTTCCAGGGTAAGGTACCAAACACAGTAGTACTGCAGACACTTACATACTGCTATGTATATAAGCATTTTATATAGCCTACTATGTAAATCCTTTGTTGTATATTCATTGTTTTTTCCAGTATGGGAAAAGGTACAAGCAGAAGGACGCCGGCAGCAGCTGATGGGGGTCAAGACGGCGTAGCTGAAGCAGTGAGTCTACATGCAGAAGTAGAGTAAACATACAATATTTAAATTGTTACAGTGAATTCTGGCTCTTTTTTTTAATCTCCCTCAAAGTTAAATATGTGTGCCTGCAAGTAGAGCTTTCAGTTAGGTTAACAGCCTTTCCCTTAGTGACAGCTGTCTGTAGGATGTGGCTTTTAACCACCTGCTTTTAACAGCAACAGCTTTAACTGTCAAAGTCACTGAGGGCATACGTACGTTTGCCCAACAGCATTAACTGCTGACAATAGCCGATTATGAAGTATATTTACATGCACACAAGAAACTTGCTTACCCTCAAAATTCAGTTCTTCTTCCATCCTGGTGCTATTACAGAGATACTTTCTCTTGTCATGAGTTTTGTGTATATAGGCCTATGGCCAAGAAACGATGATATCTTTTTTTTTTATCTTGTTTTATCACTAAACATCACATCTTATTTTAGTAGACTAGTAGCCTATTGACATGCTCTCAATGTATGATCCCAATGAACACACACAACAGTTGCTTTGTGCTGCTGAAATATTCTCTAACTACTGTCGAATGTGTCCTTTTATAAGCAAGAGAAAAAAATATTTATATTCCCTCTACAGCAGTGTGTATGCCACGAACTTATCACATGGGGTTTTTATTTTGGTATTTATTTATTTTGGTCATAAAAATATCCGTAATGTTTTGTGTTGGGCAGTTTTAATCATTCCAACATTAGTGTTATGCAGTTGTTGTATTTGAGCTCTATGTTTTGGGTAAACTTACTGAACTCAAAGTCAGCCATGTTCATTGATGGTCAAAATGAATTTCTGTTACAAATGCTGCAAATATTGTCAAGACATTTCACTATGAACCAGTATCAACCTGCTAACAGAGGAAACTTTAGGGGGCCACTAAAGTCGCCCCCCTTGTGGCCCAATTGTTGAAAAATGCGTGCTAAAGTGTCCTATTGGGAGCCAAAACTCGCTAAAGTGTCCTATTGGGAGGCCAAAAAAAGTGTGCTAAAGTGCCCTCCTGGTTGGCAAAATACACTAAACTGTCCTCTTCTAAGTTCTATTATTAGGTAGAGAGGCTGCCTAAAAGAGGTGCTAATATGGTGTTAAAATGCAATGTAAAAGTGCCCTCTACAGTGGTGAGGACGCGCTTTATGTGCCCTTTTTTTTTCTTTCCGCCCCTGCCCTTCAAAAAGTCTGTGCACGCCACTGATCAGAACATTGTACTGTAGTGCTCAAAAACTCATTTTAAAGCCTTTTAATCACAGTACAAGCAAAATAAACTTCAGATATAATATTTTTTTCCAGTGTGGAGCAATAATTCGCCTGTGCCTTACCCCTCCTTCACACACTCGCCACACATTAAAGTGGCCAGTTTCCCATATTGTTGGAAAATCTTATAGCACAAAAATGGTCAATTGTATTACTAATAAACCCCAAAATACAATGTGTGCTTATTTCTATTGCTGAATGTGTTTAATTAGTCGCTGCAACATTAAGGTCAACAGCTGTGTTTTTTTTTCTTGCAGAGCATTAGTGTGATGCAAAAAAACAACGTTTCAGAGAGGCAGCTTATTTTCTTGAGATTGTGTTTTTTTGTGTGTTTTATAGTGTGCACTGATTAACATTTGACTGTTTACTACCATTTATGTTACTTTTTCTTTCTGTAAAATTTTTAGAGATAATAAGGTATTTGGTACACATTTATTTGTTGTGCTTTTTGATGTTAAACTCTTGCATTCTTTGTTTTTTAATAAAACATTTTTTTTGCTGGAAACGTTTAATCCAAGAGTAGTTTCCCTTTGCCCCGTGTTGTAATTAAAGATAGACAAACATTAAACTTGCCTCAAGTATTTCTGTGGTATGTGCACTCAACACATACCCTCCCAACATGGTGTTTCAGACATTATTTCAGGGATTCAAGATGCATTAAAGCACATTATAGCGACTTAACAATATGCAGCCACAGTAGCAGACCAAACCAAAGACTTCCAATTGATCACGACCAAGTGGATGGAAACAGCTTTCCCATTTGAGCACTTGCGAAACAGGAAAGAATAACTTGGTTGTAACCCGTGACTGTAAGTCATGGGAACTGCCTCTCCTTCTGTATATAAATTAATGTATTAAGACAGGCTTGAAATATGCTAATCATAGCGGGCATTCCCCTAAATCTATCACATGAAGTTCAGTGTCCTAGTCACAAGGAGTACTGCTCAGCCTGTCAACAGTTGCAAAATGTCTCATGTGGCTCTTCGACAATACTTTTATTTGGAAAAGATTATTGTTGTCAGAGTTCATCTCAGCTTGGCTTAAAGGAGTCTCAACTGGAGACAAACAAAAGTTGTGTTTACTGACAGTCTTACTCAGTGTTGTACGTTGAAGGTCGTGTTTGTTGCATGGTGTGGCGTCAAAGACGGCAATTTAGAATTTTGCAGTCATTTTCTGCAATTTTTCGTGTTATATTTGAACGGAATTTATCGGATCAATTTCAAAATCGGTCAGTAAAATAAAAAAAAAACTGCAGATGAAAAGTTGTTCTATTTGTGCCTGTGGCACTCGAATTTCGACGATTTGCCATTTCGACGATTTGCCATAGAACAGATAGTACGTAAAAATGTTTTTTAAACTATTTACAGGACTACATAAAGAATCTGAGCTTTACTGTACGTATATATTCTTGAGGTCTTGGCTCTTAGCTGGTTCTCACTTTTCTCTCCTGTCTGCTTATCATTCATTTTATTGCAGTTTTCTTTGTTTGTACTTATTTTTCTAACTGATTAACTGCATGAGTTAGGCTACTTGCAGCGGCAGTGTACTCTGTTTGATATTTCATAGTAGAATTTCCTTCCAAATGATTGATTTTGAAAACTGTAATTTCACAGATCATTATCTTTAACCAGTAGGCCTATAATCAAAAACTCAAACCTAAGGTTATAACTACTAAACAAAATTCCCCTTGCACAGCCAGCAACAGTCAAGTGTACATCGCAGAACTAGGCAGTTAAAATCTGAATTAATCACCACATAAAGTCTGCAACTAATACAGTCACAGTCATGTCATTCCAGTTTGCGGTGGTATATTAGGATTTTTAAGTCTAAGGCTGATGATGATTTATTCAGAGGATGTCGCACACTAAATTACAAAAACTCTGTTTAATTTTAATATCGAGCAACTAAAATCCATATGTATAATCAGAAATGATCGATCTGACCACGCCTATGAAACAGTTCTGGCATTCATCAATGATTTTATTCAAATGGATCGAAGCACTGTGTAATGTGAAAAGTCGCTCATAGTGGTAGTGGCAGTTAATGCAGATGTTAAAATAAGTAAGTTTTTGCAAACACACCAAAGAAAAAACATTCATATGTAAAGATTATGCTCTTCATCACATACAGTACATTTATTTAGAAATTGCATATAAAAATATAAAAAAGGCTAAAGTAATGATTATTAGTGAAAGTAACTCACAACAGAGGATGTGAAAAAACAATGTTGAGTTTGTATTGCAGAAAAGATGGTTGCCCACTCGTAGTACTCTCTTACTCTTTGGATTCCCCTTTCCTTTTAGGGTGTTGGTGTGCCCTTCATATCAGTGAGCTCAGGGATTGAAATGACACGAATGATTATAGCCACGTCGTTCAGGAAACATTTCTAGGCAGTTTTCATAAATATCTTCTGTTTGCTCTTCCTGGTGGAAAGAAAAAAAAAGAAAACCAAAAAAAGACTTTTTTAGCTTAGTCTGATCTCAGTGTCTTTGTAATATGAATTGTCTTTATTTCACTTTGTTATTAAATGAATTCACCGTCAACCTCCAGTCCTCATAAATCAACAGATATATTATTATATTTACCGCTGTAGTGGGAGGATGTGTGCTATTTCTGTAAAGAGAGTGACATTAGTCCATGTTCTAACAGTATAATGCCAATAGTCATACATCTTTATGAATAGATGTTGGAAATGTTAGAATGACTTGAGCCAAATGCAACTTACCCTGCACACGGTTTGCAGACTCTGTGCAGAATGGTCAGCACAATTATAAAGATCAGGAAGCACACACAAGGAACAGCCACAGCAATCACTATCATATACAAATTCTCTTCTTCCACAAGCTCTAGGGGAAAAACAAAACAGTAACAAACTCACTCTCACTAATGTAATTCGTAACTAATATGCAGTTAAATTAAGTCATGTGATTTTTTTGTGCGAAAAAGACAAGTGGCAACCTTTGTTGCTGACGAATTGTTATTGTTTCATAAAGGAAGTCCAGCTGGGACTCGCATATCCTGTGGTCTCTCAAAATAAAGCCACTAACATTTTGTGCCATAATGAAGTCATACTCTAAGCTCTGGATTTGAGAAGCTATTTAGAGGTTTGAGTGAAGTCAGTAGTAATTCTCACAAAAATACCCTCAGAGGCTGTTATTGCTGCTATGTAGCTTTTGTATGTCTGTGTCTAGGTGCAGGTAGCATGAACAGCGTACCGTATAGCAACAGTAGCCATAATTGTTGGTAATGTTCTTTTTTAAGGCCTGTTCCTTTATACATCCTATTTTCTTTGCTGTTGCCACAGGGCTTACTTCTGTTTTATCTAATCTTATAATTTAGGACTGAGTACCACACCTGTAATTATAAGCTCCCAGTGCTTTGAGTAAGGTCCGTCATTTGAGGTTTTCTCACAGGTGTAGTTTCCCGAATGAGACGTCTGGACTCTCTCTATGATCAGTGCATATTGTGGGCTCTCTGAGTTATTTAGTGACATATTTATGCTGAGGTTGTAAGCCTTGTCACTCGTGTGTAAGGGTTTCCTGGGGCTGAAACTGAACAGGTTGACCCCGTTCATTTTCCACGTCAGCTGAGTGAGCTTGTTGTTGGGCTCCGTGTCACAGTGCAGGACCACTCTGTTGCCAACCACCTTTGAGATAGTGGTTCCTTCTGTGGAAAGGGAAATTTCAGATTATATATTTTATTTTCACTGTGACCATGTTGTCACCATTACACTACACTACAGTTTAAGCAATAGCTTTGGTATATTTTGAGACATATGTGTTTGTTTTCTTGCCAAGATTTAGAACACTGATGCCCATAGGCAGCGCTATCAAGGTACTAAAGGGAGAAAATTAGCACTGAAAAATATAAGTCACTTCAAAAGTTTTAGCTATAGTGCTGTCACCTTCACACTACACTGATCTGAGTTCAGAAGAAGATCCGTCAATCAAAACCCACACATTGAGATTATATATATATATATATATATATATATATATATATATGTATATATGTATATGTAACACCTGTGAGACAACCATAAATGAAGGACTCTGTCAAAACACAACCGCAGACACTGGTCTGGGTAATGCTGTTGTGAGTAGGCCTGTAGGCCTCGATACAGGGGTTGCAATTCAGTTTTATTACCCTCGCATATCGCATATGGTGTAGCCTACTGTCTGCTTATATGTCTGATACTTATCATTGTGGTGGAAAAAGCTATAATTCTTTTAATTTCAAACTCACTATGATATACAGATGAGTGTCGTTGTAAGGTTGAGATCCTCTCTCTACATCTGCCACACCTTATTGACACAGCACTTTGGTCAACTTTGGTTGTTTTAAAGTGCTTAACAAATAAAGTTGGATTGGATTGGATACAAACACCTTCTTCATTCGTCTCTCATATTCCTCTCTCATGTATATTGAAATCAGAGCTACAGTCAACATCTGGTTAGCTTAGCATAAAGACAAAACTGCTAAACTGGATCTGTCCAGAAGAAACAAAATCCCACTACTGTCCGAGCACTTATTAAACTCATTGACACCTTATATCTTCCTTGTTTAATACGAACAAAAACCAAAGTGCAAAAACATCCTTTTGCGGTATTATTCATATTCATATTCAGATTCATGTTTACTATACAGACACGAGCGGGGAATCGATCGTCTCACCTAACTCTCAACAAGGAAACAAACACCTTATCCAAAATGCCAAACTATTCTTGTAGCTGCTGTTAATTAATTTTACCTGTTGGTGAGAAAATCCAGAACGTGCAACATATCAGAGAAAGAGTCCTGTTGAAGCCCAAATATTTAGCAAGACCCTCCATTCCACCTTAAAAAAGAGATGATGTTATTGTGAACATACTTTGTGTGGGTATGCGATGTGGTAAATTGAAAAATAGAGTTTGTAAATGTTATTGGTATTAACTCAAAGGGAAGCCTCGCTTAGATAAAAGTCTTCCATTTCAAGAGAGTCATGACCACGATTGGCAGCAATAACAATGATTCACAAATACAGATACACACAAAAGCTACAAAATATGTCACCAGATCAGAATGAAACAAACACTTGGTTGTAAAAGAGTGCCAGAGAGGATCATAAGGAGGATGACATGCTCTGTTAACCCATATAGGCTACAGTATGGTAAATATAGTAACTGCACCTACTTACCGGTAGTGAGTATCTGCTGTTTTGTCTTGTTTCTTGCTCTAAGAAAATTAACTCTAAACTGCAGCTTTAATTTAGCCAAAAAAGGAGCTAAAATGATATATGGGGATAATAAAAAATAAAAATTCAGACTGAAACTTCTGCATGCACTTGAAGTGTTAAGATTAAACCTGACCAGGCTCCACATATACACCAGAAATGGTTTACATACAGGAAGTGAATAGCGATAACTTTGGTGGTCTGTGGCCATATGAGTAATGTGCTTTTTGTGTGTGTGTGTGTGTAGGTGTGTGTGAATCTTTACTTAGAGGTTTGTGGAAAATTGAAATGTAAAATGGACCTTTCTTCTTCATTTTGCCAGACATTGTACACCTTGAAAATTTAAAACGCTAACTGAGCCTTTTACATTTGAATTTGAGATGCCATTATGTCAGCCCAAATGAAAATTAAATGGTTAATTTTAATTTAGATAATGGAAACATTGTCACAATAAAGTGGAGTCACAAATCAATAGTAGAGGGTAGGATTGAAATGTACAACACCCAAGACTGTAATGTCATCATTGCTAAACCAGCTGTCAAGGCTTTAAGCACATCAGCGTTTTTTCCACTTGCCTCTGACATGCATAGAATGTATTTGACTCAAGATCCTCCTCCTGCTAGTCTTCTCCCTGTAGATGCAGGCTGGTTTCGTAAAAATGATAGGATAGGATGTCCGCCATAAATACCAAATGAAAAATGCTGAAATTCAATAGCCAATGACATTAATCTGTTTCCTGTATTTCTGGTATGACACACCTTTTGATGGAGGGTGTTGAGGTTATGGAGGAAGACTGCAGAATTAACTCTGGCTGAAAAACTTAGCCTATTGAACATTGCATGTATTTTTAGGTAAAAAACAACAACAAGGTAGCTTTTCAGGTCTCTGTTAAGGAAACATTGTTGTAAGTATGGTTAATGCATTAACAACACTTTTTTTTCCTAATGGAAATCACACCATATATTATTCGTTTTTTCTTAATAATTGTTCCCTCCCCCAACTTCTGAAAATAACCCTACATCCTTGATGATGTGCATGTATATTTAGCACAGACGTTATCAGATTATGTTTAACCTTTTTCTTTTATGGTTGATGCAGTGGAAAGTACAGGGGCAGAGGAAAACTCTGTTGTCCAAGTGCAAGTGAATGCAACAGCTGCAGGGGCTCGAAATACTCATTCTGTGGCAAGAAGATTTTAAGAGGTAGAAAAAATATATGCTGATTTAATTGCAAACAATCACACATATCAATATTTGCCTGGAAAAGCCCCCAAATGAAGATATTTACTTAAAAAACATTATTGTGGCACATTAGTAAAGCATTGATTAGGGAGTGGCAACTGCAACCCCGTGCTACACCTACAAAGCCCATTACTGCCAATGTGAGGATCCTGTAAGTCATTATGATGAGAAGCTTTCTCAAAATAATCACTCAGTATCAGTTCTTTTCACGTTGTTCACACATTCCTTCCATACTGTACCTTGTTTGTTGGCGGAAGAGCTTGGTCCAGGTCCAAATACCTTTTACAATACTGCCCCTTAGTGGTGAATTTATCATAACCCTCTCAACCTTTCATCATTCTCCAGGAATCAATCATAATGCCTTTTTGAAACAATCCCATTTTTTTTCATAATTTCCTCCCACAGTCAAAACACAGATAAGAAAATGTGCATATATATCGCCCTTAAATGTGAATGTGACTTGTATTGTATTGTATGTATCGTTCCTCTTGTCCAGTGAGTGCATGAATACACTTCAGCCCCCCTGTATAAGCAGAGAAAGAGGGAGTTTTTGTCCAAAGTAAAAAAAAATAATCTACATGCTACATACATCTTCATTTTTTGTTGTGAGTTTGGTGTGTGTTGCGGTGTCAGTGAGGTGTGTCTCAGTTCCAGATTGTAATAGAAACAAATTTGGGGAACTAAAATCTAGTTCTAGTAGAAGTCAGTGCTGGAAAGTGGAAAAATATGGTACTTTCTATCCACTACATCTATCTGACAGCTTTAGTTAATTGTTACTTTTCACTAGACAAATAAATGAGTACATCAAGTAATGCATCTATCTATCCATATATTATTCAATTACATATTATTGTATTGTTATAGGTTAAGATATAGACTCGATCACTTTGTAAAAATTCACAAAAGTAAATATCAGTAAATATTAGTTAATTTGTTAATACAAAACACATTTGTCTGTGAGTTATCTAAACATGCAGCATTGGGAACCTGTGATTGTTTTTTTTTTTTTTTTTTTCTTGAGTGATAATAAAGTCCAATGCTAGTTTTACTTCTGCTCCATGTACCGTTTACGTGTGTGTGCATGCACGCGTTTGAATACGTGTGCATGCCTGCGTGTGCTTGCGCTTTGCAGAGAAACACTGACACAACACTTCTTGACCACGTGTGACTTTTTATTGCGTTGGTTCACATTCCAAAAGAAGATACTGCCACACATCTATCAGTAAAGAAGACTACAAGTTAGTAAAAAGGATTTTTTTTTTTCAAAGATTAATCACGTCTTCTTACGAACATACAGGCAATGCAACGGTCTTAAAATACAAAAAATCATACATTACCAGTCATATCGATGTACACAAGGACCAGCATCTTGCTTTTGATTGTAACACTGTTAAATGCTTAAATGTGTTCAACAATTTTGGTGATTTATTGAAGGCTCTCTTTGATTCAGATTCCACAGCATTGGATTATGGGAGGAGAAGAGATGGCTGGGGGTCACAAAGGGGTCAAGCTGCCTTCTCTCTCAGAGTTTCTCTAGAGCCATTTGATCATACCCCCAAAACCAACACTGTGAGGCACATGTGTGAGCTTTATCTGTAATGTCTGTAAACATGCAGCTTTATCTTCTTAACGTATGTTGTTAATACTTTAAATACTTGCTATTTACCCATCTGAGCTGCATAATAGAGGCATGTTTTTATGTGTGTGCATGGGTGCGGGTGTGGGTGTGCTGAGGGGTCGCATACAGAAATTCAACTTTAAAAGAAAAAAAGAAAAGCAAATAAAACATCACAGTTCACATAGGTCCCAGAGCAATATAAGCACTTGCTACAATCTTACAACATTTGAGAATTTACATTTACAGATAAGGCACAGGAAATCATACAGTTGTAGCTGTTTGAATAAACAAAGCCAGAGATTGTGAGAGGAGGATTTGTGATAAACCTAAAGCATACTTTAAGGCTTAGCACACTTTGTATTAAAGTATGTCCTAATGAATTGCAATTAAATGAATTATTACCCAAATAGATGCACATTACTGCAGCACTGGCATTTTCTCTTTACTCTATTGGGTTTGTGAGATTAAATCAATATTTGGATCACAAATATAACTTGTGTGATTACTCAACAGTGAAATAACCAAAAAAAACAGCTGTTCTGCACATTATGTACATTATCACACATGAGATAGGGCATTATGTACAGTGGGAGTTGCCCCTTGTTGTTTGTTTCTCTCTGAATTTGAAAAGCATGTCATGGGTATTGTGTTTTCTTGTGGGGTAAGTAACCTTCTGTGGTCACATAAAATAAAGTAGAAAGATTTTTTTTCACAGCCAGGTCAAGGATGCTTGTTTTCATTGATGAGCGCGGTTTCTTTTATTGTCTCGCCTCCAACAATACTTTGTGCTGATGGTGCATGATCTTTATCACCCGGACGCCTGTTTGTACAGCACGAAAAGAGAGGATTTGGCCCGAGGTCGCTACTATAGTTCATTCTCTGATAGGGTCAAATGAGCCCTGCTCTCTTCCATGGACAACTGATATCACAGTACAGTTCTACTTAAAGCCTACAAAACATAAGCAAATCTAAAAAGCAGAGAATTACATTGAAAAAGACATTCAACATGTGGTCTTTTTTTTTTTTTCTTCACTAACTCAGCTCTGGCTGTGCTACATGGTATATAAACATGAAAAGGAGAGAAATGCTCTGAAATTGATGCACATCTCTCTTCACTTGAAAGAATCCTGTGTAAATGGATGCATAGATGAGGTGTTATGAGGGTTAAAGGCCTTGCACAGAGTCTAAACCTCTGAATGTGCAAAAAAAAAAGGTATGCTCTTCTCAACCTGAAAATTGACTTTTCTTCTTCCTCTCAAAGAGCTGTATACCTTTAAATGTACCGGCACTTTATCGTGTGATTTGTGTTTTGCGAGAGCCCTCTCACCCGCGCAGTGTGCAGCCACATGCTGCATTTGCAGTATGTCGCTGTCTGAATGGGAATGAAAGTCGGTGCCTAAATACAGCAAAATTACTGATTTGCAGACACACAAGTATACCATAACTCTCTTTCCCCTATCTACTCAAACCCCATGTAAAAATGTCTAATCCTCCATTGTATATGATTAAAACTCTTTCAATAGAAAAAGATGTTTCTAAAAATTTAACATGGATTTTCATCAAGTAAAAACATTTCCCCCCTGCATGTGTCCTTTCCACATTATTTTTTTTAAATATAAGAACACGCTTAATAAAAAAACTACTCCTCCCCTCTTTAACCTCTACTTTTTATATTTCATTTTTATCACAAACACGCAGATTTTTTGTCGCTTTGTAGAACAGTTTTAAAGTTTTTAATCTCTCCCTGTTTATTTTGTTTTTCATCCTTTGCTTTTTGACCTGCCTGTTCAAGAGTGTGCGTTGTTTTGAGTTAGGTGTGTGTGTGTGTGTGTGTGTGTGTGCTCTCTCTTATGTTGAACATTTGGTGTGTGCAGGTGTACATGTGCTCTCTCTCTCACAGGTTCATACAGTGAGATCGTCTGACCTGGCCCTGCTACTGGCTTTGCTCAGTCGACTCAGCGGTCTGGTGTCTTCTATCGTATCCGTGGCCTCCATCCCTGCCTCCGCTGGAGTTACCTCTTCCCCATTCACCACCTCCTCTACCTCCACATCCTCATCCACAACCGGCTCCACCTTCTCTGCTTCCACCTCTGCCGGCTGCACCTCCTCAGGCTCCTCCTCGTGTAATGTCACCCCCGCTGTCTCAGTGGTTTGGGCATAGGAGGGCAGAGTCTCGTCATACACCTTAGAGATGTCCTCCATGGGCAGCACCTCCTCCGCCTTCTCCTCCAGCCCCTGGAAGGGTGGGGCCCCTCTACCAGCCTCCATGCCCACCTCAGCCAGCGGGTAGAGGTGAGTTAT